ACAGTGCTAACCCCTGAGCCACCGTACCGCCCTTCAAGTTGACTTTAATATTCTAAAATGATCTAAACCCGACTTTCTTCTGGAAAAAAAGGAAATACCCTAAAACTTTGTGGAAATCAATCAACTCTGAGAGTTTATCGTATAAATGAATTCAGTGTTTTCAATTTACATCATTGCGTGACGCAAGATAACGCTGACTGTTTGGAGTCTGCTTCTGATAAAGGCATCCAGGGAATCATGAATGAATGCCCAATCCTGGATGACCTTCGCAGAACACCAAGGAAGATTTTTGCTAAAACATTTGGGAACCGATAACTTTGATTTTTGGGATTTTTCCATTTGCAAGCTGTTTTATTGCTTATATGAATGGAATACAGAGAGAACTCTGGATATTTGGGATGAAGTTATTGTTTAAACTTGATTTCCTCATGATTAGCGTGTAATCTAAAACAGCCTTAATTTCACAAATGTCTTTTGATTTATTTGGTTTACACTACCTGACTAAAGTCTTGTTGCTTATCCAAGTTTTAGCAACAACAAATAATAACTTAACTTCTAGTTGATCATTTGGTATCAGAAGTGGCTGATATGAAAGGCAAAGGCCTCTAGATTACGCTTATTTAAGAACAATAAAATCTGATCATGCCTTGATTAGTAATGATTTCATTAGGACAGTAAGGTCTGACTTTGCTTAGATGAAAGTCTCATCACTGAACAGAAATAATGTCCAGTATAGAATATAAAGTCCTGCTGCAGTGGAGACAGAATGAATATCGTGTCTGACTCCATCATGAGCTTGGAGGACTGCATCCACACATCTCAAATCACTGATTAATAAAGTCATCTGGAATGCCGAAGAAAGCATTCCTGCAGGACTCCCAGAGCTCATTAAGATCCTTTGGATTCATCTTTAATGCCTCTTACTTCATGCTTAATAATGTTCATTTCTGGTGACTGGGCTGGCCAATCCTGGAGCACTGCTGGCCAATCAGGATCTTTGATGTGGAGGCTGAAGTATGAGGAGCGCTATCCTGCTGGAGAATTGTCCCTCTCCTGTGGTTTGTGCGGCACAAATGTCTTGATACCTCAGGCTGTTTATGTTGCAGATCTCTCGCAAGCCCCCATACTGAATGTAAGCCCAAACCATGATTTTTCCTTCACCAAACTTGACTGATTTCTAAGAGAATCTTGGCTCCATGCTGGTTCCAGTAGCTTTTCTGCAGTATTTGTGATGATTGGGATGCAGATCAACAGATGATTCATCTGAGACATCCAGCTTCTGACACTTTTCCAAATGATCAACGTCATTATTTGTTGCTCTTACAACGGGGATCGTATGTTTGGTTTGCTACAAGTTGAAATACAAATATAAGAAGTTAAAAACAGAGACGGAGAGATCGGCTGAAGTCTTTTTTTCCAGCAGGCGTCTGCCCATTAAAGCACATACTGGGATATATCTCTGCTTTTTAGATTTTGCACCAAACACTCTTTCGCTAGGCTAATTGCCCTCGGCGTTAAAGCCCAACTAGTGGGTTTTATGTTGTGCTTCCTAGTTTTTTTTTTTCTGTTTTTGACCGGGAAGCCTCATTTGTGCATGAAGTAAACTCTGGGAAAGAGGCAGAATTAGAGTCGAGATGGGAACCACGCTGTCGTTTATACCCTCCGGCTTTACAAGAACACAGCGTTACAGCGGCAGATGGAAATTACGCACGGCCAATTCTGTACGCCGGAGAAAAAAAAAAAAAAAGCAAGATGTGACAACAACACACACAAAAAAACCTGGCTCACACTGGAGAAATCAAGCAAAATGTTCAGCTCCAGAAGCTTTGAAGAGAATAGGAGAGCATACGGTGTTCTCTAGCTAAAATGCTGTCGGAAAAATCGGGTGCACGGGCCCTGCCGGCAATCAGGTACATGGCCTGTCATTAACCTAGAAGTAATAGATCCTTCGGCTCTCTTTTGATTGTTCGAGAAGCTGCTAGGTGGAGAGAAAAGCGTCTCAGTGACTCGCAAGTTTTACAAAAACTAGACTTAATGATGGCTTTAATGGTGGCAGAGTCAAGAGATTCTGGAATCACAGCTAGTGTGCGTTGAATTTTGATTGGTTTTTTTTGTAATTAGCTTTAAAACAAGATGTACATGATGCTTTATTGTACGCCAAGTACATATACACATTTCTGATACCAAATGATCAACTAGAAGTCAAGTTATTATTTGTTGTTTCTAAAACTTGGATAAGCAACAAACTTTAGTCAGGTAGTGTCTATTCTGAAAATAAAACAAAACAAAAAACATTGGATCAATCTAATAGTTGATAATTCGCCTAACAATTGTAATAATCAGAGCTAATTTACTCACTCTCCAGTGCAAATACAGGTGAAGTCAGAATTATTAGCCCTCCTGCATATTTATTTCCCCAATTTCTGTTTAACAGAGAGATTTATTCAACACATTTTTAAACATATTAGTTTTAATGACTCATTTCTGGGGCCAGACAGAATCTGCGGACATTTCTGCGCAGAATTTTGTATAAAATCTGTGAATTTATGCAGAATGATATTGGGAGTAAAATAACTAAAAACTTATTATATGAAATAAAAAGTAATATCTTTTTAATTTTAATGTTTACAAAGCAAATCCAATTAGATACACTTATTTGGTAAACAAAGCAAGTCTCTCGTATAATATATCTTCTAAAAAACAGAAAATATTACTTTACAAAGTACATTGCAAATAAATTATAAGAACATTTTCATATTAGTCAATAATATTGCTGAAATTAATTTAAAAACTAAATAAATGTAAGTTTAAACACATTTACACAAGAAAATAAATATGTATACTATAATGATGTAAATATATACTCAATGATGACTAATTGGTCTTCATGCGTGCATTAAAATGCTGATTGGCTCAGATAGAACCTTATAGAGCCAAGCTAAAGTGCGACTTTGTAGATAAAACCTTTTTGTTTTTTAAATAAAAAGTCTTTAAATGTAAAACAACTTATAAAAAAACATCACATAATGTAAATAAGTTGTCATTTAATAAGAATATGTGAATAACTCAATTTTGACAAAAATGTCAGATAGAACCTTATAATTCTAAGGTGATGTTATATGTACTGATGTACTGTATATCATATGTTTTAAAAATGTGGGTAATACATTATAGATTCATTTTATTTGTACTAATCTTATTTTTAATTCAAATATAGGGGTGCGGCCAGGCAGGGGGGTTACAAGACATTGTGCACAGGGGCCTCTGATATCTTAATCCGGGCCTGATTAGTACCAGTTTGTTTTAACTTTTCACATTATAAGAATTGTTTTCCTCCATTGACATTTAATGTATTCCTGCATATTATCAGCAGAGATGAAGACCGACATATAAATGTGTTGAGCTCATTTCATCTTCACGTCAGTTGTGAATAAATCCAACACTTCAAGTTCGTTCACTAACAGAAACAAACTCATTTCTATTTCTCACCCTGACATGCAGCTCTTTGCACAGGCCTTAGATATGCTTCATGATAAAGAGTGATTTCCAGCGTTATTGCGACACATTTCAGCGCTGATGAATGATGTGATGATTGTTTACTGCCCCCTGCTGTACAGATTTCTCCAACTCTAATATATTCGCTTCCTCATTCATGGGAAAACAGGCCTTATTACTAAAAGAAAATGCACCGATGAGATCAAATAAATGTATGCAAATTTGTGCCAAATTTTGTATTAATTAATGCAAAAGCTTTAAAATATTTATAATTTGTATTTTATTATTATTATTATTATTATTATTATTATCATTATTAATATTGTTATTATTATGTTATATTATATAACAATAATAATAATAAATATAAATAAATATATATAAACAGGTTTTTGCATGAATTAATACAACATTTTGCACACATTTGCATATATTTAATTGATCTCATATAATAGTAATAATAATAATAATAATAAATACAAATAAACAATAAATATCAAAACTTTTTGGAGAAATTAATACAAATAATAATAAATAAATTAAATTAATAATAATGATAATAATTGTAATCATAATAATCAGAATAAATGCAAATAAATAATAAATAACAACATTTGATACATTTTTAAAGTTTTTGCAAAAATTTATACAAATTTGAGCACAAATTTGCATTCATTTGATTTAATTTCATATATAATTATAATGATTTAAAAATTTTTGCATACATAAATACAAAATTGGGCATACATTATATAGTTAGCTAGTTAGTTAGTTAAAGTTAGCTAGTTAGAATATTAGTTAGCTAGACGGTTAGATGGTTAGCTAGTTAGATACATAGCTAGTTAGTTAGTTAGTTAGTTAGTTAAATAGTTAGTTAGGTAGAAAGCTAGTTAGATAGCTAGTTAGTTAAATAGTTAGTTAGGTAGCTAGTTAGTTAGCTACATCCAAAACATATTTAGATTATCTAGATATAGATAGATAGATAGATAGATAGATAGATAGATAGATAGATAGATAGATAGATAGATAGATAGATAGATAGATAGATAGATAGATAGATAGATAGATAGATAGAGCTAGCTAGTTAGATAGGTAGCTAGCTAGTTACATAGTTAGCTAGAAGAATGTTTAGTTAGTTAGTTAGTTAGCTAGCTAGTTAGATAGTTAAATAGCATGCTAGCTAACTAGATAGTTAAATAGTCATTAGTTAGTGGTTAGATAGTTAAATAGTTACTTAGCTAGCTGGTAAGATAGTTTAGTTCACTAAGATAGTGGTTAGTTAGCTGGCTAGTTATATAGTTCGTTAGCTAGTTGGTTGGTTAGTTAGTTAGCTAGCTAGCTAGCTGGTTAGTTAGTTGGATAGCTAGTTAGTTCCTACAGGCACACCAACAGTTGAATGTCTTCCTTAGCTGACCCATTATTTGTGTGGGATGAAGCAACGTTTACTCATTAGTTAGTGAATACTTGATAACCCCTTGCTTGTTCCTGACCATATGTTTTGTTACCTGAATGTTGTGATTTTTCTGTAAGAAATTCTCTGATTTTCTCCACCCACAGGTACAGAATACTCTCTCCTGCATTCTCCCTGCACAGACAAAAATAAACATATATTTGCAGATTTCAAAACACACCTATGATGTAGAGTAGATCTGATTCTCTTACACATAAATCTCCTCTAAACTGTTGGACAGAGTCATGCGGTCTTGTCCTCTGAGCCAGGCAGCGCTGTCAAAATATGTGAAAAAGAATTTTAACTGTTCATATGTGTATATATATATATATATATATATATATATATATACATAAATCAGATTAATATTTGGTTCATTGAAAAAAACAGTATACTTTATCTGATATATCGGCGGCGCTGAGCTTGGGTAGTCTGGAGGAAGGATGATCTTAAAACAAAAAAAAATTCATATTCATGAGCTCATTTGAATATAAATATAATCAGGGTTGGTAAACTTTATTTGATTTCAGTTACATTATAATTGGGTGATATTCAAATTACAGATTCATTCATTCATTCATTCATTTTCTTTTCGGCTTAGTCCCTTTATCAATCTGGGGTCACCACAGCGGAATGAACCGCCAACTTATCTAGCATATGTTTTACGCAGCGAATGCCCTTTCAGCAGCAACACATCATTGGGAACCTGTACCACATGTGTTTGGACTTGTGGGGGAAACCGAAGCACCTGGAGGAAACCCACGCCATCATGGGATTCAAACTCCACACAGAGATGCCAACAGACTCAGCCGAGACTCAAACCAGCAACCTTCTTGCTGTGAGGCGAATGTGCGACCCACTGCACCACTGCGTTGCCCATTACAGATACATCTGAAGGTACTTTAGATTATAAAGTGATTTTTATTTTATTTCAGTTAGATGTTATTACACATTGAATATTCATAAGCTTATTTGAATATGAATGTTGTCAATGTTGCAAATCCAGCTAAAACCAGCTTGACCAGCCAAGCTGGAAGTCCAGCCAAAACCAGCTATATCCAGCTTGAACCAGGCTGGTCAAGCTGGTTTTAGCTGGATTTGGCTGGTCATTTTCCAGCCTGACCAGCTAAGACCAGGCTGGAAATGGCTAGAAACCAGCCTGGAAATGGCCAAAACCCCTCTAAAACCAGGCTGGTCAACCAGCTAAAACTAGCCTAGGCTGGTTTAAGCTGGATTTTTCAGCAGGGTTAACATAGAAGTTCTAGTAAAGTCTAGTTAGATTTCATTTTAGGATTACAAGGGCAAACATTTTATTTGTTACTTAATGACACACACACAGATGAATTGTTCACCACAAAGCTAGCAATTTGAGCTAACAAAATCAACACGGTTAGCTTTGATTTAATTTGTACTTTAACATACAGCAATAGAACTCTACAGGTAGCTACTTCCAGCTCACGCAGATGTACCTTACTTAACTCGAGTAACGTATCGAAATACGTTACAGATTACTTTTGAAAGAATCTACTCGTCTCGTACCTGTAAACAGACCGTCCATTTGGGCTGCTGTGTCTCCGATATTCTGATGCAGAAAACTCGCGCGGCTTCATCAATCACACACCATTCCTCACCATAGATTGAAGAAAGCGCTTCAATCTCCTCTATCTGCCTCAGAAAAACAGCCCATCAGCCGTGAGCTCGCTATTATTATGATTAATATGATCATTATGACCGTCTCTCACCTGAGACTGCAGATTATTATCGTCATGATCCTCTAATTTGTCCATTTAATTCAACACATCACTGCTGAAAAGTTCCTGTGGGAACGAAGTTCAGTGTTAAAAGTCTTTCTGACCCACATCTGATGCAGTTTGTATGTTAATATGATGTAACGATCTATTGAGAAAGTGAGTAGTACATGTATACATTAAAGTGACAGCTGTAACGCACATGCGATCTTACAGAGGGAAAGTCTTGTAAAAATAAACAAACAAAATAAAAGTCTCTTATATCGCTTCCGGTTTACAGCGGTCTCACAAGTTATTAATATTATATATTCTATATATGTACTCTTTTTATTGTATTAATACTACGACATTTCAGAATACATTTATAGTAGCTGAAAATGAAGTTGATTGAATGGCGAACTTGCTCTCTGTAGGGAATATATATGATCTTGCATTACATTATTTTACAATATATTGTCTGACATTGTGGAGGTATATAAAATTTTTTTGTTATATGTCTGAAATGTAAACTTGTAACTATTTATTTAAATAAATTTTTTATGTTAAGATATCTTGTTAGAAGTGTGTATTTATTTTTGTCTCAAATAATAATGTTTTTATTACAATATAATATAATAAAGTGAAGATATTATATTAATAATGCATTCCAAGTAGTACTGAATATTTTTATTGCTTTGCTATAATAATTATACATTATATTACTGTATATATTACATTTTATTCATAATTATTTATATTATTAAAATAAGATCATATGAAGTGTTTATAAGTATTTAATAGTTCATTATTGTGGTATGATCATTAATAGTATACAATTAAATAGAACTAAATGACAATATTAAATTCAATAAAATTTCTTAATAATAATTGCTTTAATAATAAATTTCAGTTGATAATGTAACACTAGTTACATATAAAAATGTATGATATTTTAGTAGATTTTTTACTAATATTATTATTTTATTTCAAAATAAATACATATTTTATTCAAACATCTTTTTTTCAAACTTTTCATCAACTTTAATTATAGAATGAAAATCATATTTGGTTCTCAATATTAAAACGACCCATGTTGTTTTGATTATGCTATGCTAAAAATATTGCCACAGGTGCTTCCATATGGAATTTCCGAATTTTCACAATTATTTATGTTACTTTTTTATCTATCTATCTATCTATCTATCTATCTATCTATCTATCTATCTATCTATCTATCTATCTATCTATCTATCTATCTATCTATCCGTCCATCCGCCCGTCCGTCCGTCCATCCATCCATCCATGCAACTTTCTATCTATCTATCTATCTATCTATCTATCTATCTATCTATCTATCTATCTATCTATCTATCTATCTATCTATCTATCTATCTATCTATCTATCTATCTATCATTACGTCAAAATAACACTAATGAGCCAAGCCCCACTGCCATCCAATCAAACAACGTCATTCAAATCCAGCGCCAATCAGCGTCTAGCAGAGAGTTGCCTCATTAATTATTCATGACATGCCAATGTTGTTCCAGCTCACGCGGACGAGAGGAGAAAAACACACTGGAAACGAGTGAAGATTTTACACATGGCGACGGCGATTTACCTCGAACATTATCTAGACAGTGAGTATAAATCATTTCGGCACATTTACAGCGGCTTTCATCTATCTTTCAGAAGGAATGAGAGATTTTAAGCGACGGAGGATGTTGTTTTGGTGGCTAATGTCAAATTAGCATTAGCGAGCTAATAAGACAGCAGCTTAAAATAATAATTTCTGATATATATTTCAACATGCATCCGTATTATGGTTCTATTTTGCAGTTAAATTCACCATATATACATCAATCATGAAACTACAGGAAGTTGTACATACGTGACAGAAAGTGGTTAGCCAGTATGCTAACAACATGCTACGTAAACAAACTCATGTGTTTGTTTACGTCGCGAACGAGACTTTATATGTGTAAATGTAAAGGATGTGCGTATTTAATCCGGTATTTGTACAGTAAACGTGTGTTTTTTTTTTGTCCTAAAATAAACCGAGAACTCAATCTAGAACTTTGCTTTCATATGTAAACAGCAGATTACTTATGATTTGAGTTCAAATTACGTGACAAAATGTGTAGTAAGTAATACAGTCTCGTAGATTACACGTTTAGGAGATACTCCGACTACATTTGGATTACATTTGGATTACTTTTGTGCCTTGATGTCACATGTTTTGAGGTAGTGGTATCTTCTTGGTTTTATATTTGGACTTTCATGTTCAATAAAATAGTACAGCAGAATTTTAAGAAGCTAACAATTGTCACGACGAACTGTTATGAACACAACGTGCATTATTTTTAAGTCCGAAGGTGTTTTAAAACCGCTGATAAACACTACTTGTCTCTACGGGAGGTTGTGACGTCATAATGTATGTGGGGAACGCTTTACAAATTAGCTGTTGTTTGGTTTAACAGACACAATAATCAGCCTGTAAAACTTTTCTACAGTACCAGGAATACTATCATATAAACTCGTGTCTGTTTACAATTTCCCAATACTCTTTAGAGAATTTAATTTAGTTATTAAATCTCTCCCTGTTAAAATGATTCAACTTGTTATAATCATATTCTGTCTCATGTAAACCCAAATTTAAACCAAAGAAGGTGTTGAATTAACTTATTAAAAAAATATAATCGCAAACAAATTCGTAATACTTTTCAGAAGCAAAATAAAATTACTCCTAGAGGCAAATTTTTCTGGGACTTATTATATTCAGTATTATTTAGAGCCTGGTTAACTCCTTTCAAATACTCTAATAAAAAATAACACTAAGGAAATTCATTTTAAAATACTACATACAATTTACCCAGTGAAATATTTACTGTTAAAGTACATTGAAATGGAGGACATCTGTAGTTTCTGCAATGCAGATAAAGAGAGCCTTTGCTGTTTATCTTTTGAATGCAGCGTTGTAAACAGTTTCTGGAAGGATCTAGCAAAATATATTTTTAAAATGACAAAACTTTGTTATTATTTTACATTAAAATATATAATTTTTTAATTATAAAAACAAATCCAGCAAAAGTCTTGAATATAAGACACTGGGTTAAAGAGATTACTGTGAAGACATTCCTATAAAAGTTCAAACCTATCATCACCACTTGAAAATGTCATGCATAATACAGTTATATTGTCCCCAAGAAATTTTACATCTATAGGCTGCTGCATAATATCAAACACTTTAAAAGCAAACAACAATAATATTTTGAAACGGAAGTGAGCGGAAGATCTTTGCTGCACATATGACATGGTAGAGTGGTAGTGCATTGTGAACAGAATGCAGACTACTTTAATATGCACTAAACATAGACGAATCCAATTTAATATATTGCATCGGACATATTATACTCCCAAAAATTCACGCTTAATTCTAATATATCCCCAAAATGTCAAAGGTGCAATGCAGTTGATGGAGACTTGCTGCATGTGCTTTGGAGTTGTCCTGTGTAGTCGGATTTCTGGGAATATATAATTGACGTATCTTCAAAAGTTACAGATATCCAACTCAGCTACGATCCTAGAATCTGGATATTAGGCGACACTGAACTACTAGATACATCTCATCATAAAAAACACTACTGGCTGGAACGGCTGGAAAAAATGCTTTTTAATTAACTGGAAATCGTCTCGCTCTCCAAACACTGGATCAACACGTACAACAGTTTTGTCTGGTTCTCGAATCTGATTGGCTGATAGCCGTTATATAATTAAGTAATATCAGCACCCGTACAGCCTCTTTACCCTTTGTGTATTACTCCGCCCACAGACAGCCAGCAACAAGCAGACACTACAGATCTGAAGTTTAAAAGATGCTCGCTCAGCTGTTTAACTGTCAGCTTATGATTTAAATCCAACGCGGAAGAAAGTAGTTCCTCATACAAAAGGGTTTTTGAGACTCTCCATGTTTGATTTTTGTTTTTATATACACAATTATGCCTTCAAATAGTTGTATAAACGCAATATCCCACTCGTAGCAGTGCGATATGGCTGTATACTCAGCCTGCAGCCTCGTGCCAACGCACGCCTCCCACCAGTGCCGATATACAGCCATATCGCACTGCTACTCGTGTGATATTGCTCATATAGTGTATATGTATGTGTGTACCTCTCTAATATTGCTTTTTGTTGTTGTTGTTGTCTTTGCTTTTAAGGAAAAAAAAAGTCCATTAATGTTTCGTTCTCATGTCTTCGATTTCGAATATATTGTTAATCTCTTTATTTTGTTGGCAAAATTTCACATACATAAACAGAAATTGCTAGTCATCACCCACATTAATAATTATTTGTATCGATTTTGATTTCTTTATTTCTACTTAAATTGTCGAAAAGCAAAAAATCTGAGATGTGTATCAACTATAATAATAGTTCATTTAAATCCCCTGTTAATTCTTAAAATCATTTGATGTAGAATCAAGTTTAATAATTAATAAATGTTTAGTGTAATTTATTTATTTTTTTTTACCTGTTATATTAGTTTTTTTATGTTCATCTTTTATATTGCGTTGTTGTATGTACAGTTGAAGTCAGTATTATTAGCCCCCGTTTATTTTTTCCCCATTTTCTGATAAACTGAAAGATTTTTTTCAACACATTATAAACAATAGTTTTAATAACTCGTCTCAAATAACTGATTTATTTTATCTTTGCCATGATGACTAAATAAATGACTAAGTAAATAATATTTGACTAGATCTTTTTCAAGACACTTCTATACAGCTTAAAGTGACATTTAAAGGCTTAACTAGGTTAATTAGGTAAACTTGACAGGTTAGGGTAATTAGGCAAGTTATTGTATAATGATGGCTTGTTCTGTAGACTATCGAAAAAAAAATGGCTTATCGGGGCTAATAATATTGACCTTAAAATGGTGTTTAAAAACTTAAAAACTGCTTTTATTCTAGCCGAAATAACACAAATAAGACTTTCTCCAGAAGGAAAAATATTATCAGACTTAATGTGAAAATTTCCTTGCTCTGTTAAACATCATCTGGGAAATATTGAAAAAAGAAAAAGAAAGTCACAGGGGGGCGAATAATTTGTGCAAAAATAAAAATAGCTGTTGTTACCATATAAATTTTGCAAACCCTAAAAAATAAAATATAGTGCACTATAAAAATTGTCACAATATTGTACTGTATTGTAGTAATGCACTCTTGTCCAAATATTGTGATGTTACTGATACTTACACCTTTTGTAAAAATGAGTGTGAAGAAATTTGTCTCTTGGTTTCTTTTTCCTGCTGTGTATTATCACTGTTTTGGGTTGGTTTAAGTTCATATTGCTTTTCCTAGATTTATACGAGTTGTAATTGATTATACTGGATTTTTGTATACTGCTAAACTAGATGCCGTCTGTTTTTCTGAGCTCAGGTATTGAAAATCTGCCCTGTGAGCTGCAGAGAAACTTCACCCTGATGCGGGAGCTGGACAACAGAGCCGAAGGTGAGTTGCCACTGCGCACTGCCTATACTGGGGGACACTACTGACCAATCAGCACGGTTTACCAAAAACACTGTTTATAACTGTTTAAATATATTTAGATATTTTACTATTAATGTGGCCCATTCTCCAATTTAAATAACATGTGTAAAATATTAATATTTAACCCTCACTTAATATTACGCTGGCTAAAAAAAATCTTATTGTAATTAATTTTGTATTTGATGACTTGTATTATTTACTAAATTACATATATATAATAATATATAATATATATATATCTTCTTCTTTGGCCTTAGTCCCGTATGGTTGCGGGGTCGGCTCTTTGGAACAAGCCATTTTAGACTTGTCCATATGATAACGACTTTTGTACACATTCCAGCCCGCCTGTCATCTGGGCCTGTCACCCTCAAACACTCATACACTATGGACAATTTAGCCTACCCAATTTACCTGCAGCTTGTCTTTGGACTGTGGGGGAAACCGGAGCACCCGGAGGAAACCCACTCGAACGCAGGGAGAACATGCAAACTCCTTACAGAAATGCCAACTAAGCTGAGGTTCGAACCAGCGACCTTCTTGCTGTGAGGCTCAGCACTACCTACTACGCCACTGCTTCGACCATATATATATATATATATATATATATATATATATATATATATATATATATATATATATATATATATATAAAATTTAAATAAATAAATAAATAAATAAAAATAAATAAAATTAAATATTTGTTGAATTATAAATTTTATATATATATATATATATATATAAAATTTATAATTCAACAAATATTTAATTTTATTGCTGAATTATTAAATTACTATGAAATAAATCTATAATTAATCAAACATTTTATAGATTGTAGCATCAACTGCCAAAACCCAATTAAAAAGGATCCTGTAATTACTATTTATTTATGTATTTGATTATTATTGTGGTGCATTATACATAAAAAGGCATTTTATTATGCATTCAAATCATTAATATTCATGCCTTAGTTAACATCCAAAATAAAATATTCCACATTGCAGGCATATTATACCTGTGATTATAACATTTATTTAAATTATTAAATAAATAAATAATATATTTAGTCATTTAATACATTAATATTAAAATGCTATATTTTGATATATATGTTGTTTACGAATAATCAATTCCCATTTTTAAAAAAATTTTTACGTTTAGCAGATTTAACCAAAAATCAATGCGATTTAACATATATATTGTATTTTAATTATTTGTGCATTAAATCATTAATATTATATAGTAGGTCTATATTATATTGAATTAATTTGTTTCAATTATACATAGTAATAAATTATACATATAAATAAAATTAAATTAATATACATGTATATTGATCACGGATAGCATGAACTGAAATGAAATATCTAATTGTTTATAACACAATGCAAACAAATATTTATATTAATGTCACATAATTAAATTAATTAAAAAAATCCATATTTAATCAATAATGATATAGATTTATGGAATTTTTTTGTCTTTCTTTTGTCTCTTCTTTTTTTCAGAGAAGAAATGTGAAATCGATAAACTGGCGGAGGAATACATCGCTAATGTGCGCAACCTGGCCCCAGATCAGAGAGTGGAGCATCTGCAGAAGATCCAGAACGGCTTCAGCAAATGCAAAGAGTACAGCGACGATAAAGTGCAGCTCGCCATGCAGACCTACGAGATGGTCAGTGCTGGATCTCATTCATTTATAAATAAAAGGTTTTGCAAAATGCTGGAGCAGAAGTGATAAGTTTTTCTTTTTGTGTTCATTACAATATCTGCATTTCTACAGAGTTTATTATAGATCCGATTATATTTTTGTTTAAAACAACCAGGTGGACAAGCACATCAGAAGACTGGACGCTGATCTGGCTCGCTTTGAGAACGAGCTGAAGGAGAAGCTGGACGTTAGCGGCTATGAGAGTCCAGATAACAGAACGCACAAGAGTAAGACATTAAACTCTAAATTATAAATTACTCGATACATAACATAAATATATACGGCTGTCTGGAATACTCGCGTCTGATTGGTTAGTTGTGGCTTCCCAAGGTATTTTATTCCCAGATAACAACTTCTAAATAACACAGACTCATCTGGGAACTTCCACTCATCTTGATCTTCAGAAAATACCTTCATATTTATATACTTTCACATTTATGTTTTTAAGCGCCGTCTAGTAAATGAATAAAACATAAGTTAGTGTATACTCCATCAGCTGTTTTCGTTTTTGTCAGCTTTGTTTCTGACAGTTTGGCGCCATCTTGTGTCTGAATAATGTGCAGGTTAGTGTATACTCCATCAGCTGTTTTCGTTTTTGTCAGCTTTGTTTCTGACAGTTTGGCGCCATCTTGTGTCTGAATAATGTGCAGGTTAGTGTATACTCCATCAGCTGTTTTCGTTTCTGTCAGCTTTACATTTCTGACTGTTTTGCGCCATCTTGTGTCTGAATAATGTGCAGGTTAGTGTATACTCCATCAGCTGTTTTTGTTTTTGTCAGCTTTACGTTTCTGACTGTTTGGCGCCATCTAGTGTCTAAATAATGTGCAGGTTAGTGTATACTCCATCAGCTGTTTTCGTTTCTGCCAGCTTTACGTTTCTGACAGTTTGGCGCCATCTTGTGTCTGAATAATGTGCAGGTTAGTGTATACTCCATCAGCTGTTTTTCGTTTCTGTCAGCTTTACATTTCTGACTGTTTTGCGCCATCTTGTGTCTGAATAATGTGCAGGTTAGTGTATACTCCATCAGCTGTTTTTGTTTTTGTCAGCTTTACGTTTCTGACTGTTTGGCGCCATCTAGTGTCTGAATAATGTGCAGGTTAGTGTATACTCCATCAGCTGTTTTCGTTTCTGCCAGCTTTACGTTTCTGACAGTTTGGCGCCATCTTTTGTCTGAATAATGTGCAGGTTAGTGTATACTCCATCAGCTGTTTTCGTTTCTGTCAGCTTTACGTTTCTGACTGTTTGGCGCCATCTTGTGTCTGAATAATTTGCAGGTTAGTGTATACTCCATCAGCTGTTTTCGTTCCTGTCAGCTTTACGTTTCTGACTGTTTGGCGCCATCTTGTGTCTGAATAATGTCCAGGTTAGTGTATACTCCATCAGCTGTTTTCGTTTCTGTCAGCTTTACGTTTCTGACAGTTTGGCGCCATCTTGTGTCTAAATAATGTGCAGGTTAGTGTATACTCCATCAGCTGTTTTAGTTTCTGTCAGCTTTGCATTTTTATCAGTTTGGCGCCATCTTGTGTCTGAATAATCCACAGGTTAGTGTGGTTAGCCATCCCTGTTTGGCACCATCCTAATATTGATTATGATTTTTTTCCCATATTTGAGCAGCTGTAAATTATACTTTAATGATGCATTAAGAAAATAAACCCAAACACTGTTCTTCACAGAGGTCACTGGCAGAGGAAACCTGAAGGAGAAACGGCGCCCCAAAGGAAGAGGACGGAAATCTTCAGACGACGAATCGCCGCGGAAAAAGAAAATGAAGAACAGGTTGGTGTCAAAAAGCACATAGAAAACGATGACAACAAATATTTTGAAGTGAAATTTACTCTGTTTTCTTTGGATTGCATAGTCCTGAGTTCCCAGAATCCATCTTACCGGTTCATCCGTCAGACGTTTTAGACATGCCCGTCGATCCCAACGAACCTACCTACTGCCTGTGTCACCAAGTGTCATACGGAGAAATGATCGGATGTGACAACCCAGATGTAAGAGCACAATCAAATTTTTTCAGAGAGATAGTTCACCCAAAACTGAACATTTATTTACCCTAAAGTACCTTAAAATCGTTTCTTTTTTCTGTAGAACACAAAATATATTCTGAATAGGAGTGACGATGACTATGATTACTGCACTTCCTTTACCATAAACCAAAATACATGGCCGCTGTTTTAAACTCAAGTACTTTCACTTTCACTTTCAAATTTACTTTCACTTTCACATTTGCGATGGCTTTCCAGGGAGTTATATTAAACGTATTTAAATATGTGTAATATGTCTACAAATATTAAACATTTATTTCAATATGTTTGTATTTATTCCAGAATTCTAACCATTAGAATAGCCGTCACATACATGGTAAAATATATAAACTGTACTTTTATATACAGTAAATGTTCAAGTCAATCACAGTTATTTATTAGGTAATTAACCATCTACATATAAGAGACAAATTCCTTGAAATATGCTAAACGTTGGTAATCATGTATTATTAGATTGTGTTGGTTTTTAATTCTGTGAGAAATGTATTTTGATTGTTTTGAAGCGATTTTACCACCGTTAATTCAAATACAGATTTAGGGGGTTATAACACAACTAATTGTAAAATCTTATATAATCGGTACCTCCGATATACATATTCCTCACCATGAAATTAGCCATAGAAGCTGCCATGGCGTTAAACACAAACAAATGGATCATCAATCTTTAGCCAATTTCTATAATCATGACATTCCTTTTCTGAAGAAGGAGCAAAAACGGAAGTCAGTGGCTACCTGTTTTTCAACATTCTTCGAAATATCTTCTTTTGCGTTCAACATATGAAACTCATGTTTAGACTAAATATACATTGCGTGGTCAACTTTCTTTAAGTCTTTCCTCAATGCTTCTATTTAACAAACGTTCTTTTCTTTACAGTGTCCCATTGAGTGGTTTCACTTCGCCTGCGTCGATCTGACAACAAAGCCCAAAGGGAAATGGTACGTTTGTCTTTTTAAAGGGTTTCTGTTGGCTCTTGATAAGTCTAGAATTTCAAAGGCATCACTTTAGGCCTTAGTAAAAGTCTTATATTTACTGCCCTACTAAGGCAAACTCTGAAAACAGCCTTTAAACGTTTTACACCAGCCAGGCTGTCATGTTGTGGGTAGATTAGTGGGTTTTGTTTCTCTGAAACATGATCAAATTCAACCTGGAGGCTTTCTTTCACAAAACCCATTTTAGACTTTAAAGGGACAGTTCACCCAAAAATAAATGCTCTGTATTTACTCAACCTCAAGTGGTTGTTTACCTTTCTTTATTCTACTGAGTTTCTTCTACTGTTGAACACTAAATACGGTATTTTGAAGAAGGCTGGAAACTTGTTACTATTGTTTTCCATAGTAGAAAAAGTAAAATAAAGGATGACATCATTTTCATTTTTGGGTGAACTCGGGTTTTGAACAAATGTGTAGTGTGTGCACTTTGCCTTTGGATGGAAGTGTTGAGTTCAGGGCTCAATATGTTTGATTTTTATAATTAAAATATCCAAAAACCACTAGAACAGTGCTTCTTCTTCACGTGATCACGAGCTGAATGGTGAACCAGAAGTGCTGGACTGTGGCATAACAAAAGCTCTGCAGTTTTACTGCCCAGATTGATTTCTGCAGGAGTCCAGTAGGACGATGAAGACCACAACTCCCATGATTCCACATTACGCCTTTGTTTGTTGAGAATGCATGCCATCTAGTGGAGAAAATACATATTGTGTCTTTAAAAAGTCTTTAAATTGCCTCTGAAACCTGTGCTAAATGCAAAACCTTAAACGTCAATGTTTTAAACCTGAACGTTTCTGCTGTTAATTTTCTAGGTTTTGTCCGCGATGCACTCAGGACCGAAAGAAGAAATGAGATGCACCTTTGTAACGTTGAGAGATTACATTTCTATATCTATATATGTATATGTATTTTGTCTAAGTGGTAAAATAGGATTATATATATATACATATATATATTCCTTTATATGACCATGATGAAATACGTGAGGTTCGCAAGGAAAACAAAGTTTTTATTTTTCAAAGTACTTGAAATGTTTCCATTTGTTTCATGATGTGTTGTCAAATGTCTTTCAGGCAATTTAGAATATATTATATATGACATATATACATATATTTTTCTTTTTACTTACTCATTAGTATGTATTTTTGTTTTTACAAAGCTTCAAGCATCCACTCTTGTGCTTCTTGTGCTCATGAAATGTTTTTAGCGTGGATCTCTTCAGATGACGAGTTTGCTGCACTTAAAGTAATGCGACTACTTTTCCTTTTGTCAGATTTGCTTTCAAACTCTTCCTGTTGTTCGAGCAAAGCGGAACTTTTAAAGCGCAGGATATTTTATTGTTCTAAATTATGTAAATGCAGAAAATTACCTAAAATCGTGGAGTTTAAATGGCATCATTTGAGGTTTTTTTCCGTTTTGAGTTTGACAATCACATCTTGCGTCATTCCTTGTTTTTGTTCACAGGAAATGTGTTTTGCGTGGAAGGCCATCAGCTCCAGAAGTCTGTAAAGAAACACAATGTGTTGATGTTGTCATTGTGACTACCAATTATCAGTCCGTTTAACTAGTCAATATTTCGAGTCACTCAAAACATTTAATTTAAGTTGTCCTCAAAACAAAACATGTTTTAAATACATATTCTTCCCAGATAAAAAAAAATACTATGGTCAATTGTAGTATCTACGATAAGTACGTTAAGTAATCTGATCGTTCTACAGTTGCTGTGGTAACACAACTACAGTAATATAAACAACTCATCTAATACTAGTTTCCTATGTTGTGGCGATTCTACAGTTACTATGGTAACACAATAACTAATAATTAAATAAAAGTAATATGAACAAAAATGACCCAAAACTGTGGTTTACTATGTTGTGGCGATTCTGCTGTTGCTATGGTAACAACAACTACAGTAATACAAACAAAAATGACCAAATTCTTTTGTTTTTTCTATGTTGTGGTGATTCTACAGTTGCTGTGGTTACAGAATAACTACAGCAATATAAGCAAATGACCCAGTTCTATAGTTTCTGGTGTTGTGGTGATTCCACAGTTGCTGTGGTAACACGACAACTATAGTAATATAAAAAAATGACCCAATATTCAAGTTTCCAGTGTTGTGGCGATTCTACAGTTGCTATAGTAACACAGAAACTACAGTAATTTAAACACCTCATCTAATACTGTAGTTTCCTGTGTTTTGGCGATTCTACAGTTGCTATAGTAACACAGAAACTACAGTAATTTAAACACCTCATCTAATACTGTAGTTTCCTGTGTTTTGGCGATTCTACAGTTTCTATCGTAACAACAACTACAGTAATCCAAACAAAAATGACCCAATACTGTAGATTCCTATGTAGTGGCGATTCTACAGTTGCTATAGTAACACAGCAACTACAGTAATATAAACAAATGACCCAATACTCTAGTGTCCTATGTTGTGGTGATTCTACAGTTGTTTTGGTAGCGCAACAACTACAGTAATATAAACAAATGACCCAATACTTTAGTTTCCGGTGTTGTGGTGATTCTACAGTTGCTATAGCAACACAGCAACTACAGTAATATAAACAAATGACCCAATACTTTAGTTTCCGGTGTTGTGGTGATTCTACAGTTGCTATAGCAACACAGCAACTACAGTAATATAAACAAATTACCCAATACTCTAGTTTCCGGTGTTGTGGTGATTCTACAGTTGCTATGGTAACACAACAACTACAGTAATATAAACAAAACGACCAAATACTGTAGTTTTCTATGCTGTTGTGATTCTACAGTCGCTATGGTAACACAAAAACAGTAACATAAACAAAAACGACTCAATACTTTAGTTTCCGGTGTTGTGATGATTCTACAGTTGCCATGGTAACACAACAACTACAGTAATATAAACAAATGACCCAATACTGTAGTTTACTGTGTTGTGGCGATTCCACAGTTGCTATGGTAACACGATAACTAAAGTAATATAAACAAATGACCCAACACTGTAGTTTTCTATGTTTTGGCGATTCTACAGTCGCTATGGTAACACAACAATTAAAGTAATACAAACAAAAATGGCCCAATACTGTAGTTTCCTATGTTGTGGCGATTCTACAGTTGCTATAGTAACACAGCAACTACAGTAATATAAACACAAATGACCCAGTTCTGTAGTTTCCGGTTTTGTGGTGATTCTACAGTCGCTATGGTAGCACAACATATGCAGTAATATAAACAAAAACAACCCAATACTGTAGTTTCCCGTGTTGTAGTGATTCTAAAGTTGCTATAGTAACACTACAGTAATATAAACGAATGACTCAATACTCTAGTTTCCTGTGTTGTGGTGATTCTACAGTTGCTATGGTAGCGCAACTACAGAAATATAAACAAATGACCCAACACTGTAGTTTTCTATGTTGTGGTGATTCTACATTTGCTATGGTAAGACGACAAGAAATATACTCTCCAATACAGCAGTCTTATTGGCATGATTACGTTCGAATCTTTATAGAGTTTCGGCGCTAATGGCCTTCTATACATCGCACGCACAGTTTCATCCGAATGTTTAAAGGCTCGATTTCGCAGGTTTCTGCCGTGTTAATGCACTTTTAATCGGGAATTTACCGTCGTTTCTCATTCCTTTAGAAGTCAGAGACTCCATCAAAATGTCAGAGGATCTACCAAAGTAAGATGAATCGATGTTAACGCTGCTTCTGTGTTATTTTATGACTGAATATGTGCTCCAAATATGAAACCTCAGATGTTTCTTCTATCATATTGACTACCTTATAGAACACATGCTATATTGCGTCATCAGTAAAGTCCACCGGGTTGAAAGTGTGACAATCAAGTAGCGATTTATTTTTTCATCTTTAAAGACTCCTGGATATGAACATATGGACTAGATGTTCCGTACAGCTTTTGGTAAAAATGAATAAATATTTACCATTACAACGCTTCTGTCGTTTGAAGTGTATGTCAAGTTTTGTTGATATGCATCAGTGTTGTTTTTAAGTTTTATTACTATACTACTATCCTAAATGAGTAATATCACAAGACTAGCAGTGTGATTCGGCTGTATATCAGTACTGGTGGGAGGCGTACGTTGTTGTACGTTAGTGTCCCAATAGTGCTGATATACAGCCATATCACACTGCTACTCGTGTGATATTGTGTTTATACAACAGTTTGTTGGCATAATAGTGTATATAAAAAAGAAAATCAAACACAGAGAGTCTCAAAATCCTTTTGTATGAGGAACTACTTTCTTCCGCCTTTCATTCACATCTGCAGCTGACCTGAGAACAGCAGAAAACTTTGCTTAAAAACACGCCACTTTAGAGCTAGTGTTGGAATGATTTCCTAATGTTATGTCTAAAGTGATGTCAAAACAGTTTGTTTTGCTCACATTTAAAGATTATAAGGCTGAACAGCATGAAATGCCATCAGTCTACAGAGATCTCCCAGTATTCTCTGTTGCAATCAGTGAATCACAATAATTAACCCCGAAAAAGCCAAAGCAAAGCAAACACTAGCAGATTACTATGGTATAAATACAGCACTACAACATACAAAAGAGATCGACTTATCAATTTTATAATGATTTGATTAGCTGTAGTTTGAAATACAAAAAGAAAGCTCAGAGTTTTTTTCCCCTAAGGCGTATTATACTGTCTATGCTGCTGTTTTGTGGTGCAACTGTCTTTGCTCTGCTTAGTACGACAGGCTGATGGCTGCCGATCTCTGAAATGATAAATGTTTAAAATGGGCCCAATCCTTATAAATAAACTGCATAGTTGCAATCTAAATAACTACAATCTCACATAAAAAGCCTCAAAAGGTCATTATGTCGACCAACAGCAGGAATATTTGTCAGACTGTAGTGAGTTTATTGATCTGCTGTCCCTCTATGTGGGTGAAGTAATACACAAGGGTGAAGAGGCTGTAATAGTGCTGATATTGCAGAATATCGCACAGCTATCATCCAATCAGATTATTCGAGAATCAGACAGAACTGTTGTATAAATACATAAAGATATATATTTGACAATTCTACGTTATGCCAGACTAACTGAAATAAACAATAGTTTTTGGTTTATTTCTATTTTATTTTGCCTTATTTGTTCAATATATTTGACTATTTTTCTTTAGTGAACAAAAGCCCATAGAATTCCTTATTTTGGTGGGATTAAAATATTTATGATCATATTTTGAAAATCTAGATGTTATGTTTTTATTTAAATATATATTTTTTTTTATAAAAGAAAGTTGAAATGTTTAAGTCCTTATGAAATCAAATGTACACTGTTTATTTTGCTTGCCCACACTGTTACTCTTATTAATCTGTGCAAATTAATCCACTGAACAAAACTATGGTTTTGCAATCTTTTATCAAAATCTGCCAATCAGCTTCTCCCTTTGAAAGGCAGCCTTCTTCTGATTGGGTGAAACATGCTTAGCCACACCCCTTTCAACCATTAGTTGTGAGTTTAAGATAAGAGGTGAAAAAAAAACAGAAACTCTGCCCCTACTCAATATTCAGTTTCATATGTCATCAAAAAAAAAAATATATATATATATATATATATATATATATATATATATATATATATATATATATATATATATATATATATATATATATATGTGTGTGTGTGTGTGTGTGTGTTTAAAAAATAATAGTGGTGAGGTTAATAATTAATACTGTTTTTAAATTATTTTGAAAGCAAATATTTTAAAATACAAATAACAAAAAAGTTGCAATAAGCTTATTTATTTTGTTATTTTTTTTAATACAATAAATAATAGTTAAGTAATATTTGATTTATATAAGTGATATAAGGCCAAATATGAATTTCTAAGGCTTATAAATAATAAGTGTTTTAAACATGTTTTAAAATACAGATAATAAAAAAGATGTAAATGTTGTAGCTTAAATTTAGCATATATTTATGTTTTAAATAAATAATATTTTAAAAAGTCAATATTTGAAGACCAGAGTTAAAATCCGGAAGCTTTCTGTGTTTTTCTATGTATTTATTTTTACGTCACTCTTTATTTTATTTAATATTAATCTTACAGGCAGTTCTGAAATTCCATATGAAATGCATTGACCTTTCAAATGATTAATCACTTCTAAAATAAAAGTTCATATTTACCAAATATATTTGTGTGAACTGTGTGTATATATTGGTAAAAAAAAAAAAAAAATTTAATATATATTAGAGCTGGGCAAAAATTAATTTGATTATTTGCATCCAAAATAAATGTTTGTTTTGACCTAATCTGTCTGTAATGTGTACTTTTATTATGTGTATATATAAATACACGCATATATTACACACATGCATGCATATATCTGAGAAAATGTTTATTTATATTTAGATGATACACACTGCATATATATTGACATATCTATGTAACCAAATTAAATTGTTTTGTTTCCATGTGTGCACGTGTGTGTGTCACATATACATTATAACACATACATATGATGCCAAAACAAACTTATTTGGCTGCAATTAATATTCTAATGGCCTGCCCAATCACCTGATCTCAATCCAATAGAGCACCTTTGGGCTGTGGTGGAATGTAAGATTGGCATCATGAATGTGCAGCCGACAAACCTGCAGCGACTGTGTGATGCTATCATGTCAATATGGAGCAAAGTTTCCGAGAAATATTTCCCGTAGCTTGTTGAATCTCTGCCATGAAGGATTAAGGCAGTCCAGTAGGCAAAAGGGAGTCCAACCTGGTACTTGTAAGATGTACCTAATAAAGTGGCCGGTGATTGTATATGCACAATGCACACGTATGTATTAAGTAAACACTATCTTGGATGCAATTAATCACGATTAATTGTTTATTCATTTGAGCTATAATGCACCAACTCAACTCAACTTCGTTATTTATATAGTGCATTTACAGAGGGTGACACTTTAAACAGAGCATTACCGTCCTGAGTGGTACCGCCGCCACACTAAGGCCATGTCTACACTAATCCGGATAAATTTGAAAATGGAGTTTTCCTCTAAAAACGCTTCACGTCCACACTGTCGTTTCTATTCGTTTTCCAAAACTTTGTCATCCACACTGAAACGACTACCAATGCTTTCAACCTGTACTGCGCATGCGTGAAACGTAAGACGCTTCGTCACGCGTCATTTCCGGCTGACGTTTATTTTCTTTCCGGCTCTTTGAAACGTTGCGGCAAAATGTCAAGGAAAAGCACAGAGTTTTTTAAATGGACTGACAATGAAGTAGAGTTGCTGCTTCGAGTAACACATGAATACAAAGTTGGAAATGTAGACTGGGAGACGTGCCAAAACAAATACGCCGATATACTGGACCGCTTTAAAGAACAGTATCCTGCTGATGACGCTGCTTACCCTCACAGTAAGGACGACATCACTAAAATCATAATCACAACGAAAATAAAGTAAACGAATTAGTAACATGACTGAGTGTCACATGACAAAAAACGCGTCATCGTTTTCGAAAGACTCCGTTTTCACAGTCTACACTACGACACGAAAACGGCGTTTTCAAATTTATCCACTTTGGAGAGCGTTTTCAAAAAGATACGTTTTTGTTTCCTAAAAACGCGTCTCAGTGTGGATGGAAGGGCAAAACGGAGACAAAAATATGCGTTTTCATTTAGTGTGGACATGGCCTAAAGGAGTATGAATAGCCGCGTTTCCACTATCGCGCCTAAAGCGAGCGAGCCAGGGCGAGCCAAGGCCAGTGGCGTTTCCACTGTCACTTCCGGGGCCTAATCGGGCCAAAGCGGGGCTTTCTTGGGGCCAGTGGCCGGCCTTTTTCGGCCTGCCGAATACCTTGGGCCAAGGAGGGCCAGCTGGGGCTTCGGGGCGGAGTGAAAGGAGAGGCGGGCAGTTTTCTGATCGCACATGAGTACATGCGCCAAAGAAATAAGGGAAAGAAAACATCTAGCCTTATAGTCTGGGGTCTTTTTGCGTATGAACACCCTTATGTTTCCCTTTTGAATGTAAGGCTGCTGCATAAAATAATAAAGTAGTTTTAATTTATAGTGACGTTTTTTGCTGCGTCCTCCTTTATGTTTCAATAACGCATAATAATCTTTACACCATATTAAAGACACAGCAGACAGTAAAGGTTTTCGAGAGTTTTTGTCAAATTTAAAATGTTTGTTTATGTGCGCGTTTAGATGCCTGTATGTGTGTGTGAGACCGGGCTAAAGCGCTCCTTCACAGCTCTGTTATGCCGCGAGCGGCTTTTTCTTTCTTTATTTTGGTGATTATACACAATATAAATACAACAGAAGGAAAACTTAACAAAATACATAAATCGAACCGTTTTAAAGCCACATATATAACTGTGTTTTTTTGGTATAACCGCAGTTTGCGACTATGCCACCAGGGGGCACAAAGGGACGGGAAGAACGGGAATATAATTGTAACTGAAAGTTGAATTGCCCAAAATGCTTCACATAACACGTAGCAACTAAACACGAACCGTAAATTAAATCAAACGTTTCTTGGAGCACGTCAAAAGCTAAACGGAACCAATGTGTGCACCAGTGTTTTGCTTGTGAAAGGTGTCCGCAGTGGTCCTAAAACTCCTGGTCGGACTGCTCCTCGTCCCAGCTGCAGGTCTCCTTCACGCTGCCCTCTCCGAACTCCACCTCCAGGTCGTACACGAAGTCCGGGTCGCCTCTGCGTCTGCGGTTGCGCTGGAACAGATCGTCCATCTGTGCCTTCCTGCGGCTCAGCTCTTCATCGCTCAGCTTGTTCAGATCCTCCTCTTCCTCCTGGTGACGGTGGGCGGCCAGACTCTCCTCCAGACTCGCGCCCTGCAGATGATCCCGCAGGAGGAGGTGAAGTCTCTCCAGCTGAGCCAAAGACACACACTCCAGATACACGCTGTGACGCACGTGATGCTTCAAACGCTCTGCCGCGCGGCTGCAATCTGCGCACATGCACAGTTAAGCAAGCTGTTACATCATGGGAACGCAAGTAAGTTACTAATGTATGCTATTATTAGTGCACAACTCATTCATGTGCAATATTAATATCAGGAGTGCCCAATAATATCCAGAGTGTCCTGCGTATTTTAGTTCCAACCCCAATTAAACACATCAGCTAATCAAGCTCTATCTAGGTATACTAAAACTTCCAGGCAAGTGTGCTGAAGGAAGCTGGAGCTAAACTATGCACCGGCCCTCCAGGACTGAGTTTGGACATCCCTGATTATTATGCATGCAAACAAATATTATCAGACAAACTGTGAAAATGTCCATGCTCTGTTAAACATAATTTAGGAAATATTTAAAAAAAGAAATGAAAAATCTAAGTGGGGGCTAATAATTCTGACCTCAACTATATATCTCAGAATTTATCGCCCCCCTTTAAACATTTTTTTTCTTGTCTATTTCAAAGAGAACCGATCGCAGCAGTTCACTTCCTTTACACACGGTTGTTTCGCGCAAGTAAACGGGAGCGCGCGCGCTTTTTAACAGTCATGCGCATCACATCAGCTGTGCGCGCGAGTAATCATCCTCTCATAAGGTATTCACCTGCTTTTGCTTACGCGAACACATTTATTTTTGTCAATCGTGCTGCTTCTCGATTCTAAGATCGCATTTTAGGCCATCCTTATTGTCGAACCCTGCTTTAAGAAAACTACAATGTAAAAATGATTTCCAACCAGCCAAAGTGGCTAGCGGGAGAGCCCTGTATATACAATAATATCCAGCTGCAGGCCCGCAGAACCACACACGTTTTAGGCACACACAATCTGGTTTGCCTACCTATATGGTTACGACGGATGTTAATAATATTAACGTCTTCTTGGACATCGTCATGGATATATTTTGATATATATGGTTAATAAATATTGTACACAATAAACAAAAGTGTTTACTTTTTTCACAAATATTGCGATCGAGACGGGCGAATGGGGAGCATTGTTTCCGATCGCCATTCAATATAATAGATTGAACAGTTTTTTATCAGTCATTATAGCTGATCAGTCATTATTATTTGACAATAATATAGCAGATACTCGTTTGCCGGCCTTGCTGAACAATCTAAATTGGACAGGTTTAATTTATGTAAGGAAATAATAGCAAGTTAATATAGGCAATAATACATTATATGTAATAAAAATATTTTAACATGTATAACACTATATTAATATTTTACTCAAGCGATTTAATAGTTTATTTGCTTAACTTTCTAGTAACCATCATATCCCACATTTGTACTATAGTAATTTATAGTAAGCAATAATTGTTTTTAAACCAAAATTTTGCAATAGTAACAAATTATTAATAATTATTAAAAAAAGTTTATATATATATATAATATATATATATATATATATATATATATATATATATATATATATATATACATATATATATATATAACTAACAGCTGTGACAGTTTAGTAAAAGATAGTAGTTTATATATAAACTTTTAATTATAATCAGATAATCAGTTAAGATAATCAGTTTATAACTATATATATATATATATATATATATATATATATATATATATATATATATATATATATATATATATTGTTTAAATGATTAACTATAGTATGCTAATTTATTTTAATGTGACATTATTGTTTTCTTTTTATATTATACAGCAAAGTGATTTTAACCAATATGATAATATTAAGATCCTGAATTAGTTTATTACACTTAATCCTACAATTGGGCGGTCTGTTATGTTTTCTTTATGTGCACATATGAATAAAGTCATGAGTGTCTTTAACCAATTTTTTTTTATTTACATAATTTGAGTTCAGAAACTGCAGAGATGTTAAAATGATCGTTACGATATAATAATGATGACTGAAATGGGAAACCATACTTGTGAAATTCAATAGGTGGCGATAATGCCAATGAGTTAGTTAGTTACCATCTATGGTTTGCCTAAATCGTGTGTCCTAGACTGTGTGTGCCTAAAACGTGTGTGGTTCTGCGGTTCTGCAGCTGGATATATCTCTGTATATATATATATATTAGTAATTCGCTCTCGCTTTCTTTAAATCCCTTTTTTGTTTTCTGTCTCTGTTCGTAAACTACAGCATAGATTCACTTTTTGTGTTGATTATTTTGTTTTAATGTACTTTGAATAAAGCTAAAAAAGATTAATATGCTTGTTGGAAAGTTTAAAACACATGCAAGTTTCATGCGCAAGATTTATATGCATGCGAAAACAGTTTATATACAGGCATGTTGGAGATACACATGCAAATAAGATTCGAATGCACGCACGTTTCATATGGAGATTTACATGAAAGCCATTTTCATATGAGGTTTCAAACGCATGCAAATGAGTTTAATATGCATGCAAGGATTTCGAATATACAGGCAAGCTTGAACTGCACACTAGCCTGTTTCATATGCATGCAGGTATTTCATAAATCCTCTGAATTATATCATAATATGCTTTGTCTGATGGTTATGGATTTACCGGAGTACTGAGAGAAGTTCCTGACAGGAATGACCCTCTTCCTCATCTTGCCAGAGGTTTTGTTCTCGTAGATGATGATGATCGACGGCGGAGTAAATTTCACTCCACATCGCTTCGCTACTATCGACATTTTTGCTCACATTTGCATCTCCACCTGCAGAAATATTAAATATGATGAAGGGTCAGTCAAATAATTGCTACTTTTATCTACAGATATCTATAAATTAATATATAATAATATAGTACAAACTATTAAACTAAATAAAAAATATAAATGTCTGTAAAATACATAAATACAAAAATTTAAAGTTGTACATACATAGAGTGATATATATTTATTAAATAATTATGTATGATTATATATATCATAACATCTATAGGCCTACATTATTCATTCATTCATTTTCTTGTCAGATTAGACCCCTTAATAATCCCAGGTCGCCACAGCGAAATGAACCGCCAACTTATCCAGAACGTTTTTACGCAGCGGATGTCCTTCCAGCTGCAACCCATCTCAGGGAAACATCCACACACACATACACTACGGACAATTTAGCCTACCCAGTTTACCTGTACCGCATGTTTTTGAACTGTGGGGGAAACCGGAGCAAACCCAAGCAAACTCCACACAGAAACGCCAACTGACCCAGCGGAGGCTCAAACCAGTGACCTTCTTGCTGTGAGGCGACAGCACTACCTACTGCGCCACTTCGTTGCCCGGTCTACATTATATCGATAGATTTTACAAATGATTTCCCAGAGATAGGGTCTAGAAGGGCATCCGCTGCTTAAGAATGTGCTGGATAAGTTGGCGGTTCGTTCAGCTGTGGCGACCTCGAATTAATAAAGGGACTAAGCTGACAAGAAAATGAATAAATTTTATAAATTACACTTGTTTAAAATATATAATAAAAACTGTTATATAAGTACATGTATTTATAATAATATTTTAAAAAACGCTATTAAAATCTGTCTAGAGTTAACTATTTGTGTGTAGTGTAACTATAGCAACCGCGAGCGTTTCAATTGTTGAAATGTACGTTTATATTTACCATTGCTCAATTCGCGCTGAATGTTTTCTTAAAGACACAGGCTCGCATTGACCACACGACGGACGAGCTCGTAAATAAGCCATTAATTAAATGTAACCCGAATAAAACCTTTGTTGTGGTCATTTGTCTGAGGTTTCCATGTTTCTTCTCTGTCGTTTTCTTCTACTGAGAGAGGGAGTTTAGCGCGACGCTCATTGGCGCCCTCCACCAGAAAGACGTCATCGGACACGGAAGTAAACACTTGGAGTTGGGATTAGAGCATGAGCGCGGATCAATGATGGTTTATTTATATTTATTAGCAACGGTGTTGTGTTTTATTCATCATGGAAATGCGCAAGAAGGTATTTATGATGCTAAACATACTGGTTAATGTTGGTTTATGTATGAGTTATCGTTATAAGTGACAACTTTGTGCATATTTTGTTCCTATTTAGCAGATGATTGTTTTCCCACTGAATGGCTGAAGTCTCTGGTCATTTCTGTGAACATTTCCAAAGCTGGATTTCACAGGTCTCTCTCTCTCTCTCTCTCTCTCTCTCTCTCTCTCTCTCTCTCTCTATATATATATATATATATATATATATATATATATATATATATATATATATATATATATATATATATATTCATTGGTTTATTCATGTTTTAATTGTGATGTGTTGTATAGAGATCTGGAGTACAGTGTTTACTGGAGTGAAACAGATCATGACGTGAAAGCTTTACTAGTGCAGAAGATGCCGAGTGGAGTTTACATGGATGAATATCAGCTGGAGACTCTGAGACATGACACAGGCTTGGAGGTATGTTTTTTTTTTCCAGTGATATCATGTTAAAACCGTGGCTTAAACACCTGTTTGGTTCCCATTTGGCTCTTCTTTGGGTATCAAATATAAAGGTTCTGGGAACATTTCGGTAACCAAAAACTAACCTTCTTCAGAATGTCATGGCTGATTTGGAAACATTCTCCTAACCTTGAGGGAATGTAATGTATTTGTGTAAAGTAGGGTTTGGCGATATGGGCAAAATATATCCCGGTATTTTTAGGGAGAATGACGGTATACAATATATATCCGGTATTTTCCCATAAATGGTTAATTGAGAGTTAAAGCCTTTATTAAAACTTTATTAAAAAAATTTTAAGCAAAATATAATTTAAACACTAGGGTTTCCCTCTCTGTTTATGTAAAGTAACTCCTACATAAAGTTGTGGTCGGTCTGAAAACCGCTCCAATTGGTCCACCGTTTTTATGTTGTTAAATTAAAAAAAAAAAGGACTGGGTGTGTTTATATCTCCCCAATATGATGGTCTATACACTATATATACACATATGTTTGTCCAAATAGCTTGAAAGGTAGATTTTTCACCATAGTTGCCCTTTAGGCCGTACTCACACTAGGTACAGTTGCCTCGAACCGGGCCAAAGCACGCTTGTCCCCCCTCCGGTCTCCCCCGACGGCCCGCGCTCACACCACAAACGGGCTTCGGCACGCTTATGTCATCGCTGCTGGGCTGTTCAGTGAGAAGCGCTCTCTCACTCAGCAGCACAGTGGAGATTTCTCTAGTTATATCGTTTCAGTCGTTTGACATGCAGTCAAATATTTCGCCAAACAGTTCTTAGGGATGCGGGGACACGCAGTCAGATATTTCGCCGAACAGATCCGCCACTTTTGGCGCTCATAAACAATCATAAAGCCCTCGTGCTGCAGGAATAAGGAGGTCTGCTGAAGGTGCAGCTGTCGTGCAGTGAGGAGTTTGCGTCTTTAATAAACGACGGCAGTTTGCGTTCACTGAACAGTAAGAATGATTAATAAATCCATATGAAACAGCCCCTTAAAAGTCACGTCTCGCTTTCAGTTTCGGGCTTTGGCGCGTTTTGCACTCACACACAAGCGTACCGCGTCAAAGCCCAAGTGAACCGCGCTCAGACACACCTCTTCCAACCGGGCCAGGGCCGGCCAAGTGAACCATGCTTGAGCCCGATTCAGCGCACTCACACTTCTCAAACAATCCGGGAAACGGGCCTGGGCACGGTACGAATGGCATAGTGTGAGTAGGCCCTAAAACACAATCTGGTGCACACTGGTGCAGGCGCTGTGTGACGTGTGCATGTGAGATTTCTCACCACACTAGTGATGTGTCGTTCATGAACGATTCGTTCATTTTGAACGAATCTTCATTATGACTCGGGAACTACGATTCCTCTCAGTGAGTGATTCGTTCATCCGCGCGTGCGCACATTTGGCAGGTGATAACGTTCATTTCAAGTCTTTTGGGTTGTTATTCTTGGAAAAGCAGAAGCCAATCATACGCGTTTAGAGTGGGAAAAGAATTGAACCGTTCATCTCTCGAGTCCTCTATCGGGTCTGATTCGTTCGTTCCTCACGGGCCAATCATATGCGTTTAGAGCCGGAAAAAGAATTGAATTGAAAGGTGAACTAATTATCATGGCTCCTATCGGCTTAGACTGTGCATTGGTTGAGATTATACGTGACTGTCAGTGTAATGTGGACGAACCACTGACATTTGAAGACATGAAAAGGTGAGCTGAGTAAAGACACAACAATACCTTCATAGACAAAAGTGCAGGTCAACATCAAATTAGTATTTTCTCCTTCTTATAGTTTTCTATTTATGACTTATTTGTCATGTGATCAACCTTTTGGGCTAGTTGTAGATGTAATTGGAAGCAATTTGTAACATATTTTGGCAAATTGAACCAAATGACGAAATGACTCAAAAAAAGATTCGTTCATCTCGATGAACGAGACTCAAAGATCCGAGTCAGTAAAATGATCAGAACTTCCCATCACTTCACCACACAGGCACTGCATGTTCCTCCATGTCACGTCAGTGATGGGTCGTTCTTGAACGATTCGTTCATTTTGAACAAATCTTTTGTGTGACTCAAGGAGTGAATCATTCATTTGTGCAAGCGGCGCTCGCGCGCTGCTGCCTTGAAGTGGTCTTTTTCCCGCAGAATGCGCACGTGTGGCCTCAAACCATATATATATGAACGATATTCGGATAATACCGCATCTCGTTGGGGAATCTAAGCAAATCGATATAAATTGAAGAAAGCGCATTTAATAAACCATCAGGAAACGTTCTGGCAACATATATAATCTGGATTACATAATCATATTACTAAAACAAGCGCTTGATATTAGAGTAAACTACTTATTAAAATACTCAATCCCATTACAGATTACGTTTGTAATTGATGAAGATGTTCACAATGGGGCGACATACTGGCTCAGTGGTTAAAAGCAAGAAGGTCACTGGTTCGAGTCCCGACTGGGTCAGTTGGCATTTCTGTGTGGAGTTTGCATGCTCTCCCCGTGTTGGCGTGGGTTTCCTCCGTGTGCTCCGGTTTCCCCCACAGTTCAAACACATGCGATATAGGTGAATTGGGTGAGCTAAATTATCTGTAGTGTGTGTGAATACGCGTGTATGGGTGTTTTTCAGTACTGGGTTGCAGCTGAAAGGGCATCCGCTGTGTAAAACATGCTGGATAGGTTTGCGGTTCATTCTGCTGTGGCGACCCCTGATGAATAAAGGGACTAAGCCGAAGGAAAATGAATGAATATAAGTGAAATCTAACAGGGCTTAGCACAAAAGTAATCTAAATGTAATCCGAAAGTAGTCCAATTACATTACATGTGTAATCAAAGCGGTTATATTACTGACTACACTTTTGGTCATGTAGAGTAACTGATTACAAATAAGTAATCTACTTCTGACGTCTGATTTAAATCTTGGCTTTTGTTTTCGCAGGTTCTCCTGGACTCAAAGGTGGATCTGGAAGCTCCGGAGTATTTGTCGTCTGGTTTCACGGCGCTGGTTTTTCTCTCTGGTAATGCGGTGACTGTTCCGGTTCACGGCCGCTATCACAGACCCTCAGACACACACAGCCATGTGACGGTGGACATCCAGCCGCCCAGACTCCTGCTGAGATCAGACCAGTGTACGTCAATCCTCATATCAACAGATTCAGAAGGTGGAGAGCAGTTGTTACTACTACACCGTGATGTTCACCTTCATTGTGTTCATGTGTGTGTGTGTGTGTGTGTGTGTTCATCACAGGTGAGACTCCCAATGCTCAACATACAGTGGTTGAAGCTCCATGTACATTCAGAAACGAGAGCTTCTGCTTATGGCTGGAGATACAGGACCTGAAGGTAACTAGTCTAAAGATGTATAACTAGGTATCTTGGTAAAGAACATAGCTAGGTTCAATGGTAGCACTTTTAGCTTAGCTTAGCATAAATCATTGAATCAGATTAGACCATTAGCATCTAGCTGTGACACAAATTAAATCATTCAGCGTAGTGATGTGGAGCTGTATTGCAATGCTCTCAAAACCTGCCGGAACTACTTTAGCTGTGCGTTTATATGAAAATAACGGCACACTTTAGAGTGCTCATCAGCCAATCAGAATCAAGCATTCGGCAGAAATATAGCCAGGTCGGATGGGAGCATATTTAGCTTAGCTTAGCATAAATCATTGTATCAGATTAGACCATTAGCATTTAGCTGTGACGTAAATGAAATCATTCAGTGTAGTGATGTGGAGCTGTATTGCACTCAAAACCTCCCGGATCTACTTTATCTGGTCATTTATCTGAAAATAACGGCACACCTTTATAATACTCATCAGCTGATCAAAATCAGGCATTCAGCAGAAATAAAACTGGGTTCAATGGGAGCATATTTAGCTTAGCTTAGCATAAATCATTGTATCAGATTAGACCATTAGCATCTAGCTGTGACACAAATTAAATCATTAAGCGTAATGATGTGGAGCTGTGATGTACTGAAACCTGCCGGAACTACTTTAGCTTTGCGTTTATATGAAAATAACGGCACACCTTAGAGTGCTTATCAGCCAATAAGAATCAAGTATTCGGCAGAAATCTAACCAGGTTGGATGGGAGCATATTTAGCTTAGCTTAGCATAAATCATTGAATCAGCGTAGTGACATGGAGCTGCAATGTGCTCAAAACCTGCCGGAACTACTTATCGTTACGTCAATCAGAATCAAGCATTTAGCAGAAATTCAACCAGGTCTGTTGGGAGCACGTTTAACTTAGCTTAGCATAGATCATTGAATCAGATTAGACCATCAGCATTTATATGTGACATAAATTAAATCATTCAGCGTAGTGATGTGGAGCTGTAATGTACTCAAAAACCTGCCGGAACTACTTTATCTGTGTGTTTATCTGAAAATAACAGCACACCTTTATAATACTCATCAGCCAATCAAAACTAAGCATTCAGCAGAAATATAACTGGGTTCAATAGGAGCATATTTACCTTAGCTTAGCATAAATCATTGTATCAGATTAGACCATTAGCATCTAGCTGTGACACAAATGAAATCACTCAGCGTAGTGATATGGAGCTGTAATGTACTGAAAATCTGCCGGAACAACTTTATCTGTGCGTTTATCTGAAAATAACGGCACACCTTTATAATACTCATCAGCCAATCAGAATCAAGCATTCAACAGCACTGAGTATACGTAAGGAATTATTGACGATCGACCTTGTAATTAAAAGGGCATAATGTATACCTAAAGTGTGATATGGGGCTGTGATGCGCTATAAAAACCTGTCGGAACTATGATAACGCACAGGCATAAAGTAGTTCTGGCAGGTTTTGAGCTCAATATAGCTCCACATCACTATGCTGAATGATTCACAGCTGTTGATAAACCTGCCGTGCTTTATTCTGTGATAACAACCGGCTACTTTATCCCTTATTTAATGCCTAGTTATTAACGTTCACTCTGTATGTCACAGTTTTCCGCCCTCCTGTGAATTGTTTTCTTTTCTTATTCAAATATGATGTTGAACAGATTCAGGAATTTTTCACAGTATTTCCTATAATATTTTTCTTTCTGGAGAAAGTCTTATTTGTGTTATTTCGGCTAGAATAAAAGCAGTTTTCAATTTTTTAAACACCATTTTAAGGTCAATATTATTAGCCCCCTTACGCAATATTAGTTTGGGATTGTCAACAGAACAAACCACTGTTATACAATGACTTGCCTAATTACTTCTTCGCTGATTGTTTTGACTTAATAATAATAATGCCATGCAACATCTCTGCTGTGTTTTCATGTTCGTTTCTTTCGTTTGTCTGTTGAAGGGAAGCGCTGGAGTGAGTCTGGAGCTTCCGGTGGGAGATTCTTCAAAGACGACGTGTGTGTGTGTCGTGACTTTACTGACCACCACACTGTGCTGCGTTTACCTCCTCATTGTTATCTGGAGACACGGCACTTTCTGACCAATCACACGACAGCAAGAGCCAAAACAACGTTAAAATACTGGATTAATGATAAGTTATTAGTGCAGATTGTGTGAGAGGGAATAAAACGGATTGTGACTTTCTTTTTTAAATTGACTTTTTTTTCATCTGTTATTACATAAGATCATGAATTATTTATTAAGAAGCATACTTATATTTGATAGTGTTAATATATAATTGAAGTCAGAATTATTAGCCCCCCAACCCTCCTCCCCGCCATATATTTTTCCCCCGATTTCTGTTTAACAGAGAGTAGATTTTTTTCAGCACATTTCTAAACATAATAGTGTTAATAACTCATCTCTAATAACTGATTTGTTTTATCTTTGTCATGATGACAGTAAATAATATTTGACTGGATATTCTTAGCTTAAAGTGACATTCAAAGGCTTAACTAGGGTAATTAGGGTAAAGTTTGGGTAATTAGGCAAGTTATTTTATAATGATGGTTTGTTCTGTAGACTATCCAAAACAAATATTGCTGAAGGGGGCAAATAATATTGACCTTAAAATTTAAATTGATTTGTTCAGCTTTTATTCTAGCCGAACTGAAACAAATAAGAAGAAAAAATATTATAGGAAATACTGTGAAAAATCCCTTGCTTAAAGTTCACCAGGGCTAATAATTTTGAGTTCAAGTAGATAGATAGATTGATGGATGGATAGATAGATAGATAGATAGATAGATAGATAGATAGATAGATAGATAGATAGATAGATAGATAGATAGATAGATAGATAGATAGATAGAGAAAGATGGATGGATGGATGGATGGATGGATGGATGGATGGATGGATGGATGGATAGATAGATAGATAGATAGATAGATAGATAGATAGATAGATAGATAGATAGATAGATAGATAGATAGATAGATAGATAGATAGATAGATAGATAGATAGATAGATAGATAGATAGAGAAAGATGGATGGATGGATGGATGGATGGATGGATGGATAGATAGATAGATAGATAGATAGATAGATAGATAGATAGATAGATAGATAGAGAAAGATGGATGGATGGATGGATGGATGGATGGATAGATAGATAGATAGATAGATAGATAGATAGATAGATAGATAGAGAAAGATGGATGGATGGATGGATAGATAGATAGATAGATAGATAGATAGATAGATAGATAGATAGATAGATAGATAGATAGATAGATAGATAGATAGATAGATAGATAGATAGATAGATAGATAGATAGATAGATAGATAGATAGATAGATAGATAGACGGACAGATGTTAGATGAAGAGCACAGATAAAAACGGGTATGAAAAAAATGTGAGAACTTTGGAGTTTAGCAACAAGAATCAGTCCAAGGCACTCGAATAAAGTGAAAAAATTAAAAAAGCCTTTATTCACATGGCTAAATCTCTAAAAACCTACGCGTTTCGGCAGAAGTCTGCCTTCATCAGGGTAACTTTGGAGTTTACTTGGATTCATGTTTATAGTTCTGTCTTTGAGTTAAACATGATTTTTGTACTGTTCTGCACACTAATGATGATTAATTAGATATTAGCTGATAAATGAAAATGTTGCCATTTAGAGCATTTTTGGCCATAAAATGAAAAGGAGTTTTAAAAAAAAAAGAGTTAAGAAAGCCATATTTGTTGGAATAACCCTAATTTTCAGTCTTAACGAATGCCATTTTCAGAAACAAAAGGCCAAAACTGCAAATATTAGACGTTTGGAAGAAATGTTACCTTTATAGAATGAAATAAATATTAACATTTTACAAAAACCAATATGTTTTAAATACAGAAAAGGGAAGTTATATATATATATATATATATATATATATATATATATATATATATATATATATATATATATATATATATATATATATATATCTATGTGTGTGTGTGTGTGTGTGTGTGAGAGTGATTATATTTAGTTAAGAATAAAATATATGCATGCTACTTGTGTCCATTTGTTATGACATTCAATGTTTGTAAGTGTTTATATATATATAACATTTTCAAAAATCACAAGAAATATTCACAGATTGTATACAATAAATATATAAAAATGATAACCATGCCAACTGAACATGCTCCAGATAAAGTGATTAATTATACACCTTAAAGTCATACTTGGTCAAACTTAAAACATAGTAAAGAATTTTAAAATAATAATAAAACCTCCATAATTCGTACTCTACTTACAACGATTAACAATATAGTATCTACATATGATACGAGATTAACTCTCAAATCAATTTGGTGGACTTTTATTTTGTCAGTGTAGTCTTCCCACAATGCCGCCGCACCGGAAGCAGCGTCTGTCTGTTAGCTGCAGGCGAGGGCAGAAAGAGACGCTGCTGGGCGCCTCCCCTTCCCCAAACCGACACAAAAAAGCACCGAAAATCAGCGATAATCTGCGGCGGATAGCGGCCCGAAGAGCGCAGGCCCTCCGCGGACAGAGCAGCACCGGCGGAGCGGCTCCAGCTCCAGTCTGAGCTCCGTTTCATAGGTGAGGCGACAAAAAAAACCCAAACCCGCCGGCCGCGTCCCAAACCCCGCTGAGTGCCCTACACTGGCTCTGCTGGCTCTCTAGGGCACTCAGGAGGGGGCGAGGCGGCTGCGGCGCTTCTGCATTTGTCTGTGTGTGCATGTTTTTGTGTCTGCAGTGATGTGTGTGTCTGTTGTGATTTTGTTTTCTATTTTGGGTCTTCTGTGTTCGGGTCTGTTGTGATATTTGTGTAGTTTAACTGCATTTGTGTCTGTAGTTTGTGTCTGTTGTGATATTTTTGTCTATTTTGGGTCTTTTGTGTGTTTTATTTGGGTCTGTAGTGATAGTTGTGTAGTTTAACTCTGTATTTGTGTCTGTGTGTGTCTAGTTTGTGTCTGTTGTGTTATTTTTGTCTTTTGTGTGTTTTATTTGGGTCTGTAGTGATATTTGTGTAGTTTAACTCTGTATTTGTGTCTGTAGTTTGTGTCTGTTGTGATATTTTTGTCTTTTTTTGTCTTTTGTGTTTTTATTTGGGTCTGTAGTGATAGTTGTGTAGTTTAACTCTGTATTTGTGTCTGTGTGTGTCTGTAGTTTGTGTCTGTTGTGTTATTTTTGTCTTTTGTGTGTTTTATTTGGGTCTGTAGTGATAGTTGTGTAGTTTAACTCTGTATTTGTGTCTGTAGTTTGTGTCTGTTGTGAGATTTTTGCCTATTTTGGGTCTTTTGTGTTTTATTTGAGTCTGTAGTGATAGTCGTGTAGTTTAACTCTGTATTTGTGTTTGTTTGTGTCTGCAGTTTGTCTGTTGTGATATTTTTGTCTATTTTGGGTGTTTTGTGTGTTTTATTTGGGTCTGTAGTGATAGTTGTGTAGTTTAACTCTGTATTTGTGTCTTTGTGTGTCTGTAGTTTGTGTCTGTTGTGATATTTTTGTCTTTTGTGTGTTTTATTTGGGTCTGTAGTGATAGTTGTGTAGTTTAACTCTGTATTTGTGTCTGTGTGTGTCTGTAGTTTGTGTCTGTTGTGATATTTTTGTCTTTTGTGTGTTTTATTTGGGTCTGTAGTGATAGTTGTGTAGTTTAACTCTGTATTTGTGTCTGTGTGTGTCTGTAGTTTGTGTCTGTTGTGATATTTTTGTCTTTTGTGTGTTTTATTTGAGTCTGTAGTGATAGTCGTGTAGTTTAACTCTGTATTTGTGTCTGTGTGTGTCTGTAGTTTGTGTCTGTTGTGTTATTTTTGTCTTTTGTGTGTTTTATTTGGGTCTGTAGTCATAGTTGTGTAGTTTACATCTGCATTTGTGTTTGTTTGACCTAGTTTGTGTCTGTTGTAATGTTTTTGGTCTATTAGGGGTCTTTTGTGTTTTTATTAGGGTCTGTAGTGATATTTGTGTAGTTTAACTCTGTATTTGTGTCTGTAGTTTGTGTCTGTTGTGAAAGTTTTGCCTATTTTGGGTCTTTTGTGTGTTTTATTTGGTAGTTTACGTCTGTATTTGTGTTTGTGTCTGCAGCAATGTTTGGGTCATTTTTGTGTATTTTGGGTCTTTTGTGTGTTTAATTTAGGTCTGTAGTGATATTTGTGTAGTTTAACTCTGTATTTGTGTCTGTAGTTTGTGTCTGTTGTGATATTTTTGTCTATTTTGGGTCTTTTGTGTTTTTATTTTGGTCTGTAGTGATATTTGTGTAGTTAAGCTCTGTATTGCTGTCTGTTGTGATATTTTTGTCTATTTTTGTCTTTTGTGTGTTTTATTTGGGTCTGTAGTGATAGTTGTGTAGTTTAACTCTGTATTTGTGTCTGTGTGTGTCTGTAGTTTGTGTCTGTTGTGTTATTTTTGTCTTTTGTGTGTTTTATTTGGGTCTGTAGTGAAAGTTGTGTAGTTTAACTCCGTATTTGTGTCTGTAGTTTGTGTCTGTTGTGAGATTTTTGCCTATTTTGGGTCTTTTGTGTTTTATTTGAGTCTGTAGTGATAGTCGTGTAGTTTAACTCTGTATTTGTGTTTGTTTGTGTCTGCAGTTTGTCTGTTGTGATATTTTTGTCTATTTTGGGTGTTTTGTGTGTTTTATTTGGGTCTGTAGTGATAGTTGTGTAGTTTAACTCTGTATTTGTGTCTTTGTGTGTCTGTAGTTTGTGTCTGTTGTGATATTTTTGTCTTTTGTGTGTTTTATTTGGGTCTGTAGTGATAGTTGTGTAGTTTAACTCTGTATTTGTGTCTGTGTGTGTCTGTAGTTTGTGTCTGTTGTGATATTTTTGTCTTTTGTGTGTTTTATTTGGGTCTGTAGTGATAGTTGTGTAGTTTAACTCTGTATTTGTGTCTGTGTGTGTCTGTAGTTTGTGTCTGTTGTGATATTTTTGTCTTTTGTGTGTTTTATTTGAGTCTGTAGTGATAGTCGTGTAGTTTAACTCTGTATTTGTGTCTGTGTGTGTCTGTAGTTTGTGTCTGTTGTGTTATTTTTGTCTTTTGTGTGTTTTATTTGGGTCTGTAGTCATAGTTGTGTAGTTTACATCTGCATTTGTGTTTGTTTGACCTAGTTTGTGTCTGTTGTAATGTTTTTGGTCTATTAGGGGTCTTTTGTGTTTTTATTAGGGTCTGTAGTGATATTTGTGTAGTTTAACTCTGTATTTGTGTCTGTAGTTTGTGTCTGTTGTGAAAGTTTTGCCTATTTTGGGTCTTTTGTGTGTTTTATTTGGTAGTTTACGTCTGTATTTGTGTTTGTGTCTGCAGCAATGTTTGGGTCATTTTTGTGTATTTTGGGTCTTTTGTGTGTTTAATTTAGGTCTGTAGTGATATTTGTGTAGTTTAACTCTGTATTTGTGTCTGTAGTTTGTGTCTGTTGTGATATTTTTGTCTATTTTGGGTCTTTTGTGTTTTTATTTTGGTCTGTAGTGATATTTGTGTAGTTAAGCTCTGTATTGCTGTCTGTTGTGATATTTTTGTCTATTTTTGTCTTTTGTGTGTTTTATTTGGGTCTGTAGTGATAGTTGTGTAGTTTAACTCTGTATTTGTGTCTGTGTGTGTCTGTAGTTTGTGTCTGTTGTGTTATTTTTGTCTTTTGTGTGTTTTATTTGGGTCTGTAGTGAAAGTTGTGTAGTTTAACTCCGTATTTGTGTCTGTAGTTTGTGTCTGTTGTGAGATTTTTGCCTATTTTGGGTCTTTTGTGTTTTATTTGAGTCTGTAGTGATAGTCGTGTAGTTTAACTCTGTATTTGTGTTTGTTTGTGTCTGTAGTTTGTCTGTTGTGATATTTTTGTCTATTTTGGATGTTTTGTGTGTTTTATTTGGGTCTGTAGTGATAGTTGTGTAGTTTAACTCTGTATTTGTGTCTGTGTGTGTCTGTACTTTGTGTCTGTTGTTATATTTGTGTCTATTTTGGGTCTTTTGTGTGTTTTATTTTGGGTCTGTAGTCATAGTTGTGTAGTTTACATGTGTAGTGATGTTTGTGTAGTGTAAGTGTGTTGATTTTTGTCTGTAGCTCACTTATAGTGATGTTTGTGTCTGTAGTTCAAGTATATTGTTGTTGTTCTTATGTATTTGTTCCATTGTGTGTTTGACTTTAATTTGGATCAGTAGGGGTGTTTGTCTCTGATTTTTGTCTGTTTTTTGGGGTCTGTAGTGATGTTTGTGTAACTTAGTTTAGGGCTAATTGGGTCTGCAGCTCATGCACGGGTATCGTGATTGTGTCTGTAGTTCAAGTATGTTTTGATTGTTGTAGTTTTTGTTTTGCGTGCATCAGTTTTTGTGTTTGTTTGTTTGGGTCTGCAGTGATGTTTGTTTCTTGTGCTTTCTATTTTGAGTCCTTTGTGTGTTTATTTTGGATCTGTGGTTCTGTTTGTGTAGTTTGGGTCTGTAGCTCACGCTTGTAGTGATGTTTCTGTGTTAGTTCAAGGCGGTATGTTGTGATGTCTGTTGTGATTTCTTGTCTATTTTGGGTCTTTTTGTGTGTTTACTTTGGGTCTGTAGGGATGTTTGGTAGTTTAAGTGTGTCAGTTGTGTTTTTTGGGTCTGTAGCTCATGCTTATAGGGATGTTTGTGTCTGTTGTGACGTTTGTCTGTAGTTTGTTTTGTCTGTAGTTTCCATCTGTTGTGATGCTTGCAAGATTAAATTGTGTCTGTTGTGATGTGTTCGTCTGTAGTTTGTGTATATTGTGATGTTTGCCTATTTAATTTGAGTCTATCGATGTTTGTGTAGTTTAAGTGTCAGTTGTGATTCTTTTTGGTTCTCTTGAGTGGGTCTGTAGCTCACGCTTAGGGATGTTTGTGTCTGTTGTGATGTTTGTCTGTAGTTGGTTTTGTTTGGTCTTAATGTTTGCAGGATTAAATTGTTTGTTGTGATGTCTTCATCTGTAGTTAGTTTGCCTTTATTGTGATGTTTGTGTGTTTAATTTGGGTCAGTAGTGATGTTTGTGTAGTTTAAGTCTGTATTGATCTTGTCTGTAGCTCATGCTTATAGTGATGTTTGCCTGTTGTTTGTCTGTAGTTCAAGTATGTTATAATGTTTGTCTGTAGTTTCATTTGTAGTGATTGCGGGATTAAATCGTGTCTGCTGTGATGTTTTTGTCTAGCTTGCATCTGTTATGATGTTTGTGGGTTAAATTGTGATTTGTGATTGTCTGTAGTTTGCATCTGTTGTGATTGCAGGTTACATTTGTGTCGGTTACTTTTTGTCTGTGTTTGGGTTTGGGTCTGTTGTTTCAGTCTGTATTGATTGGGTCAGTAGCTCATGCTTACAGTGATGTTTGTGTCTGTAGCTCAAGTATGTTGTGATGTTTGTGTCTGTAGGTGTTTTTGTCTGTAGTTTGCATCTGTTGTGATGTTTGCAAGATGAAATTGTGTCTGTTGTGATGTTTTCGTCCGTAGTTTGTGAATATTGTGAGGTTTGCCTGTTTAATTTGGGTCAGTAGCGATGTTTGTGTCGTTTAATTTTGTATTGATTGCGTCATCGTGCTTATAGGGATGTTTATGTCTGTAGTTCAAGCATGTTGCGATGTTTTTGTCTGTAGTTTGCACATTTATTGTTTGTTGTGTCTGTTGTGATGTTTTCTTCTATAATTGTCTATATTGTGATTGTTTGCGTATTTAATTTGGGTCAGTAATGATGTTCGTGTAGTTTAAGTTTGTATTGATCTTGTCTGTAGCTCACGCTTAGTGATATTTGGGTCTGTAGTTCAAGTATGTTGTGATGTTTGTGGGTTAAATTGTGATTTTTTTTTTTTTTGTCTGTAGTTTGCATCTGTTGTGATTGCAGGTTACATTTGTGTTGGTTACTTTTTGTCGGTGTTTGGTTCTGTTGTTTCAGTCTGTATTGATTGGGTCAGTAGCTCATGCTTACAGTGATGTTTTTGTCTGTATTTCAAGTATGTTGTGATGTTTGTGTCTGTAGGTGTTTTTGTCTGTAGTTTGCATCTGTTGTGATGTTTGCAAGATGAAATTGTGTCTGTTGTGATGTTTTCGTCCGTAGTTTGTGAATATTGTAAGGTTTGCCTGTTTAATTTGGGTCAGTAGCGATGTTTGTGTCGTTTAATTTTGTATTGATTGCGTCATCATGCTTATAGGGATGTTTATGTCTGTAGTTCAAGCATGTTGTGATGTTTTTGTCTGTAGTTTGCACATTTATTGTTTGTTGTGTTTGTTGTGATGTTTTCGTCAGTAATTGTCTATATTGTGATTGTTTGCGTATTTAATTTGGGTCAGTAATGATGTTCGTGTAGTTTAAGTTTGTATTGATCTTGTCTGTAGCTCACGCTTAGTGATATTTGGGTCTGTAGTTCAAGTATGTTGTGATGTTTGTGTCTAGGTATTTTCATCTGTAGTTTGCGATAGTTTTGATTGTGGGATTAAATCATGTCTGTTGTTATGGTTTTTGTCTGTAGCTTACATCTGTTATGATGTTTGTTAGTTTAATTAGTGTCTGTTGTGATTTTTGTTTTATCTGTTGTGATTGCAGGTTCTGTTGTGAAGTTTGTGTCTTACTTTTTTTGTTTGCATTCCAGTCTGTTGTTTAAGTCTGCATGGATTAGGTCTGTATTGGACGTATGGGTCTGTATTTCATGTCTGTTGTGTTGTGTATTTGTGAAATGTGGGTGTGTTGTGGTGTTTATGTCTGTAATTTAAATCTGTATTACTGAGTCTTTAATTGAAATTTGAGTGATGTATTCGTGTCCGTTAGTTTGAATTAACATTTGTGTCTGTAGTTCATGTCTGTGGTTTATGTCTGTAGTTTAATTATTGATATTTATTATTACTACACTGTAAAACCTGATACGATATCTCAAACTGTTTGAGGGAACCGATTGCAGCAAACCATTTAAGTTTGGAAACCAAATGGTTTGAACACTGTAGTGTAAAGTTATACATAGTAAGTCATATACACATGTATTATATGTGTTGATATTGTCGTACTTTAGAGTATTAGTAACTTGATTTTAAGTTCAGTTTATTAAATGAATTAAGTCCAAAACTATATAGCTACTCTAATGGTTTGGTATTGCTTCTAGCATTAGAGTTAACATAAAGCAGAATTAACTGATTCATAACTCATTCGCTTTGATTTCTGCTTAATATGATCCGTTTACAAGTTATCGTAACTTTTTTTTTTTTCCGTGAAGTCAAAGTAACTTTAAGTGAAACTAACTTATTTCATTTAGTGATTCTTACTGTTAGGTTTTACAGTGTTGTGTTATTCAGTCATCAAAATCCAGTTCTCCTGAATGTGATGCGTGTTGCTTAAGCCATATGTGTGTGCTGTGTGTGTGTGTATGTGTTGTGAGTGTGTGTCTGTACGTTGGCTCATCTCTCGGTCTCTCGTCTCGCTCCTCTCTGCTCCTGCAGCTCTAACTCCTCCTTCTCTTTCTCTTTTGTTTTCTCTTCTTTCTCCTCCAACGCTCCTCCTCTCTTTCCTCCTGTCTCCTCATCCTGATCATGTGTGATAATGGCGATGTGGAGGACAAGCCGCCCGCTCCGCCTGTCAGGATGAGCAGCACCATCTTCAGCGGCGCCAAAGACCACGCCCTCACCGCCAATCACAGCTCCAAGCCCCTCCCATCGGTCCCAGAGGAGCGCAAGCGCAACAAGATCTACTCCATCTTCTCCGGCGCAGAGAAAGGTGAGAATGAGGAAATTTAAGGCCCGTTTACCCCAAGCACGATAACGATATTGTGGCGTCCATACAGTCAAACGATATTGATCCGTTTAGTTTTTGTTTCTGCTTTTAATTGTGGATTATATCTTGTAACCAGCGTGTTTCCTCAATGTTCTGCATCTGAACGTACTAGTGAGCTGGTGATGTGTAATCAATCAAGTCAAACTAGTCAGTTTAGCAATCGAAGTCAGTTCTCCAACAATTTCAACACAAACACACAGAAATAAACACTGGATTCCTCCTCTACTTTTATTTTTAGACGTCAGTTTGTCAGCATTGACTTCTTAATAACTCCCATATATACTCCTACATATATTGATATTTTATTATCAATATTGCCTATTATACAACCAATTTTTCCACGATAGTCAGAAGGGCTGAACATCATCAGTGTGCTTCTCTACAGTGTCGTCTTTAAGTGTGTTTTCACATCTGTAGTTGGGACATTTGGTCCGAATAAAGGGGATTAAAGGATACATTGTAGCATTTTCTTTGGCTCCCTTTCACACCAGACTGATTGCTTTGGTCAGAACCAGAACCAAAATGCAATCATGTGACAATCCACGTCACTCATTGGCCAGATGTTATTGTTTGTATTTCCTAAACTGCTTTCTGATTGGTCCGAGTTAACGTGCGGGAAAATGCCAATGGAACTTTCACAAGTAAACAAACCGGCAGACACAAAATGTCGCCATTGACTATAGAAGGATGACTGTGTTAACCAGGGCTTAATTTGTGCTGGAACACACCGGATCTCAATCTGGCACCTTTAAAATCTGATCCGGCATCTCATTTTACCGATCCCCGTCCTCAACCATCCTCTTCCCCCATCTGCTGTTCACTTTCAATTTTCAACTTTCATACACAACACCTCTACATCCTCGGATAACCTGCCAGATCCATTACCACGATCTGTTCCGGGACCTCGCAGTTCACACTGATTGCATCTCTGCTCATAGTATTGACCTTATTCTAAAATGCGGAAGTGCGCCTGTTTTCGCGATTGTCTTAGAACTTCCGATTCAGTCGCCTATGGGAGAAATGACTTGGAATAATAAACGGCAGAAAACGGTCAAACTACTTGCTCTACAAACAAATGTTTGCATGATTATACAGACCAAGTAGAATAAGAAAATAAGAAAATATCAAATTGCAACATCAAGCAGCGTAATGAGCAGTTTTTAATGTCAAAAAAATGAATGGAAGTGAATGAGACCGGAAGTCTCAAGCCAAAAAGATTCAAATGGCAGCGCCCGCTCGTTGGCGGAGAATAAGGTCAACACTATATAGTTTGTTTGCATCACTTTAGACAATCTATATATTTAGCAAATAAAGCTCGGCTCTGGCTAGAAAACAATGTTTTAAGGCTTTGCAAACAACAAAGGCGCATCGCAAATCGCTTCAAGAGGAGACGTGAATTAATTTAGCTAAACTGCGACATGGTCATCTTCTGGAAATATTACCAACGATCCATCAGGTAATGGCTGTTTCTCAATTCCAAGAACACAGAGAACAGACTTAAACACCCTTAATGTGTTTATTTCTTTATTAAGATGTCTATGGTAATGTTTATGATTGACTGTTTCATTCAGGGAAACTCCTGAGATAAGTGATATCTCTGAACTTTAATAATAAACCAATATAACGCTTACAAAATCCAAACAATATATTTTAATGATTTTTTATTTACCCCACAAAAATTTACGCCATCTGGTGAAATTGTGTTTATATCGCAGAAAAGCTAAATATCGCACGTCAGATTTTTTCAATATCGCGCAGCCCTAACCCAGAGACTGATGAAAAATATGAAGGATGTTTACTGTATGATGGCTGAAGTCGCCAAATGGCCTCAAACTATCACTTAATGCACTACAGAATGTTACGTTTTCACACACACACACACACACAAAAGCACAAATTGCATGTAAACACGTCAAATTTACACAGTGCATTACTCCCTACTTTTGAGTTCTTTTATTCATAAACGGTAATACATGTTCACATCATACTATAAATGTGCACATTTAATAAGTAAAGCAACAAAAGTACAGACATATGCAATAATATAACATATGTAAATAATATAATATGAATAAATAATTAAGTACAAACAAATAATGCAAAATGTTTTGAGAGAAAATATAATTTTAGGCTGCAAAATATGGAAAAAAAAAAATATTCCTGCAAAATTCTGCTGGGTCTGTAAGATTATTATAGTGTTTATTATGATGGTGATGATTGTGTGTGTGTGTGTGTGTGTGTGTGTGTCAGGTGGACGCAGGAAGGATCGTGATAAAGAGCGTCCTGAAATCTCTCCACCGTCAGACTTCGAGCACACCATTCATGTGGGATTTGACGCCGTTACTGGAGAGTTCACTGTAAGCGACGGCATTATATTTAATCACGTTTATTTAAATGTTTATTTTTTGTGGGTGTGAAATTGTTCCTGCTTTAATACTTCCAAACACAGACATTTAAAAAAAAAAAAGCTCAAAATATCTTATGTTGTCATGAGATTTCCATTAATATATATTTAGCTTTATATATAGCTTTATATATAGCTTTAATGTTGGTGAAAAATCTCAGTGTGCACAGAAGGACACACATAGAGAAAAATGCGTGCTTTTAAATAAAAACGTATGTCCTGAATCTCCAGTTTCTGACGTTTGTTTTTTGGGTGTGAAGGGAATGCCGGAGCAGTGGGCTCGATTACTGCAGACCTCCAACATCACCAAGTCGGAGCAGAAGAAAAACCCGCAGGCCGTTCTAGACGTGCTCAAGTTTTACGACTCCACAGGCAACGGCAGACAGAAGTACCTCAGTTTCTCCTCAGGTCCGTATATAACCACACTATGGTCATTATATGTGTATACGTACACAAAGCAGAAGGAATAAGTATTGAACGCGTCACCATTTTTCTCAGAAGACATGTTTCTAAAGGTGCTGTTGACTTAAAATATTCACCGGAAACAACCAAAGCAATCCATATATGCAAAGAAAACTAAACTAGGAGCGGTTTATTCATAAACTAATTTCGAGAGGATCACGTGCTTTTAATCAACACGGCTGGCTCCTTATCAGCTCTGTAATCAGCCCTATTAGATGATTACGGAAGCATTATAAATAACCTGAGTTTTTCACTCCAGTTATCGTTGTCTTGAAGCCCCTCCCCCTTTTTTCTGATTGGGCGACATGGTGGCCCAGTGGCTAGCACTGTTGCCTCACAGCAAGAACACCGCCGGTCCAACCTATCGGGCCGGTTGGTGTTTCTGTGCGGAGTTTACATGTTCTCCCCGTGTTTGCGTGGGTTTCCCCCGGGTTCCCCGGTTCCCTCCCACCGTCCAAAAACATAAACCATAGCTAATCGACTAAAACAAATCATCACCCAGTACAACCTTAGTTTACACTTCTCACGGTGACAAGCAGAGGAGTTCTCGAGACCTACCTGACCTCGGACTCCCCGCTAGATACTCTAGAGTGCTTACAAATGTCTGTCTGTCTGTCTGATCATCCATCCTTCTCTCTATCTCTGTCTGTCTGTCTATCTATCTGTCTGTCTGTCTCTGTCTGTCTGTCTGATCATCCATCCTTCTCTATCTCTATATATCTGTCTGTCTCTGTCTTTGTCTGTCTCTGTCTGTCTGTCTGATCATCCATCCTTCTCTCTATATCTGTCTCTATCTATCTATCTATCTATCTATCTATCTATCTATCTATCTATCTATCTATCTATCTATCTATCTATCTATCTATCTATCTATCCATCTATCCATCCATCCATCCATCCATCCATCCGTCCGTCTGTCTGTCTGTGTCTGTCTGTCTGATCATCCATCTATCTATCTATCCATCTATCTATCTATCTATCTATCTATCTATCTATCTATCTATCTATCTATCTATCTATCTATCTATCTATCTATCTATCTATCTATCTATCTATCTATCTATCTATCTATCTATCTATCTATCTATCTTGTCTATCTATCTGTCTATCTATCTGTCTATCAGTCTGTCTGTCTGTCTGTCTGATCATCCATCCTTCTCTCTATCTCTATATCTGTCTATCCGTCTGTCCATCTATCCATCCATCTCTCTATCAGTCTGTCTGTCTATCGTACATGTACTGACTGCTGGTCTCCTCTCGTTCATCTGCAGAGAAGGACAGCTTTCCCTCCGGTGAACAGTCGGTACGTATCATTTATTGTTTATTTTCTGCTTTTGCACTTTCCATTTGAATTCTGCTTTCATTTGATAAAATGAAGACAATTTGACTTGACAATTCTCAGTTTCTGATCACATTTCTTCCTAATTTTACTTATTAGGATTGAACAAAAATGCCATTTATTTGCGTATTTCTTTTAGTTTTTTCAACAATGGTAAAGAGGTGCCTCTTTTCCAGACATGTTTACATTCATTTTTACACTGGACAAATGGTCACTATGTTTTTTTCCCCGAAGTTATAAAAAAAAAATTGTATTTGGTGGAATAACTCACTGGCCACTTTATTAGGTACACTTTACTAGTACTGGCTTGGCCCCCATTTTGCCTTCAGAACCATCTTAATCCTTCGTGGCAGAGATTCAACAAAGGACTGGAAATATTCCTCAGAGATTTTCCTCCATATTGACATGATAGCATCACGCAGTTACTGTGGAATTGTCGGCTGCACATCCGTGATGCCAATCTCCCGTTCACCACATCCCAAAGGTGCTCTATTGGATTGAGATCTGGTGACTGTGGAGGCCATTTGAGTACAGTGAACTTATTGTCATGTGCAAGAAACCAGTCTGAGATGATTGAGCTCTATGACATAGTGCGTTATCCTGCTGGAAAAGTAGCCATCAGAAGATGGAGACACTGTGCTCATAAAGGGATGGACATGGTCAGCAGCAATACTCAGGTATGCTGTGGGGTTGGCACGATGCTCAGTTGGTACTAATGGACCCAAAGAAAATCTCCCCCACACCATTACAGCACCACCACCAGCCTGAACCGTTGCTACAAGGCAGGATGGATCCATGCTTTCATGCTGTTGATGCCCAATTCTGACCCGAGCATCTGAATGTGTCAGCAGAAATGGAGACTCATCAGAGCAGCAACGTTTCTCCAATCTTCTATTGTCCAGTTTTGGTGAGGCTGTGTGAATTGTAGCCTCAGTTTCCTGTTCTTGGCTGACAGGAGCGGCACCCGGTGTGCTCTTCTGCTGCTGTAGCCCATCCGCCTCAAGGTTGGCCGTGTTGTGTGTTCAGAGATGCTCTTCTGCAGACCTTGGTTGTATCGAGTGCTTATTTAAGTCACTGTTGCCTTTCTATCAGCTGGAACCAGTCTCCTCTGACCTCTGGCATCAACAAGGCATTTGCATCTACAGAACTGAAGCTCACTGGATATTTTCTCTTCTTCAGACCATTCTCTGTAAACCCTAGAGATGGTCGTGCGTGAAAACCCCAGTAGATCAGTATTTTCTGAAATACTCAAGACCAGCCCGTGTGCCACCAATAACCACGCCTAGTTCAAAGTCACTTAAATCCCCTTTCTTCCCCATTCTGATGCTCGGTTTGAACCGCAGCAGATCGTCTTGACCATGTCTACATGCAAATAATGCGTTAAGTTGCTGCCATGCGATTGGCTGATTAGAAATTTGTGTTAACAAGCAGTTGGACAGGTGTACCTAATAAAGTGGCCAATATGAAATATTGTAATTCTGACCTATTTCCTATATGGAAAATAAATTAGGGTTTGGCTAAAATGTTTTGTTTTAAATATGTAATTTTAAAGTATTCAGTGTTTTATTTTGTAGTCATTAGCAGCTCTCTGCAATAAAATGAACATGGTTTTACTTGTTTTACACTTGACGTTTTTAACTCTTGATTCTTTATCTGGTGCGTTGACCTTTTCTATATCTTGCCCTGTGATCTGCACTCATTTGAATATTTTCGTTTTGATGTTTTTTTTTAATTTTGCATTGGAAAACAAAACCACAAAAGTTACTTCTCAAAGCCTCATGTTCCCTACACACCAAGGCATCGAGCTGAAAAGCTTTGAGGTTGTTTTTCTTTTCCCAAAAAGATGTGTCAAAATCAAATGTTAAAACTAATGTCAACTGACCAAGTCTCAAAGCTTCTTTTTGTGAGTTAAATTAACATTAGCAAAATAAATGTGAAATATTTATTAAATGCAAATTTTACTTTTTTTTTTTTTTTTTTGACAAATACAAAATAAAGCTACAAACAGCCTGAAACATAACAGCTTAACCAGGAATATACATGTGTCAATAGCCATAGAGTGCAGGTGTCAAGCTCAGTTCCTGGTGTGCCACAGCTCTGCACAGTTTAGTTCCAACCATAATTAAACACACCTGATCAAACTAATTGAGTGCTTCAGGATTGTTTGATACCTACAGATAAGTGTGCTGGAGCAGGCTGGAACTAAACTCTGTAGTTTGACACCTCTGCCATAGAGCACGGCAGGACCAGCAGAACATCTGGTGAAAACAGAATGCAAATAAATATCCATAATGACATATATCACTCTATCACAGAGACAATTATACTGTCCAGATGTTTGCAAAAAGCTATGGCATGTCACAAAAGAAAAACATTTATAAGAAGCCATGCTTATGAACTACAATGGAAACACAATTACTGAATAAATTCTTAATGCAAATCATATTTAAGTCTCTTTGATGTAAATTTTATAATTATATGATATGGCAGGGGTTCCTAAACTTTTCAGCCCGCAACCCCTAAAATGAGAATGCCAGTGACTCGTGACCCCCAATATTCTCTGAGGTGGTTATAAATACAGAAACCTTGTATGCAATGACGCGCACACACACACCAATAGACCCAAGTCTATTCTTTGTTTTTTTTTAATGTATGTCAGTGCTGTAAATGGGCTAGAAAGTTTAACCTGGTGTTAAAAAATCTGCTGCATCTGACAGTATTACTGTGTCTTTAGTATAATGCAGGGGTCAGCAATCCGCGGCTCTAGAGCCGCATGCGGCTCTTTAGCGCTGCCCTTGTGGCTCCCTGAAGTTTTTTCAAAAATGTTCAAAAAGATGGGGAAGGTTAGTATATATTTTTGTTTTAATATGATTTCTATAGGAGGACAAATGTTTTTAACGTTTTCAAATGCTGTAAAAGTGTGTAGAATTAATATTTAATTTCAACATTTCTGTCAACGAAGATTTGCGTCATAGCCTGCGACACACGTTTCTATCAGCAGAGCGGGATGCCAGGCAGGTGGCTGTTGTAAACAAACCGGGAGATAATAAAGCATGGAAAACCGTACACAGATGGTGACTACATGAAGGAGTCATTCATCAGCATATTAGAACACCTACAGTAATTGCAGAATTCAAAAACAAAACCAAGATAATAGAAAAAAATTAAGATATACCTCTCTCCGCTAAGCCGGTGAAGGAAAGGGCTATTAAAATGGCAGGTAACATCACCGATCAGCAAACCAAGGACATTAATTCAGTGCCAGCATACTCAATTGCCTGTGATGTGACCGATATTCAATGCGCTTTTATGCAGGTATGTGAACTCTGATGGGCCGCAAGAAGAAATGATCAAATTAATACCACTGAAAGACCAGAGGCTGTGCTGAAGTGTTTACATGACAACGAAATAAACACCAACCACCTGATTTCAGTGGCTATTTAATCATGAAGGCTCATTATGTATTTGTAGCCAACTTAGTCATTTTTATAGTAGGCTAATATAGCTAATATAGATACATACAGCATGTGTTTCCTTTATTATAAGGCTTTACATTTTTTGCGGCTCCAAACATATTTGTTTTTTGTTTTTTTTTGGTTCAATATGGCTCTTTCAACATTTTGGGTTGCCGACCCCTGGTATAATGTAATTACCAGAGAAGTCGCAATCCAATAGAACTAGTAACTGTAAGCTACTATAGTAACTATATAGTTTATAGTAACTATAAACAACTATTTTTTTTCTCATCAGTAGGTTATTGATAAAATACAGTAAGTCTTAAGGTTTAATAAAAATGAATTGATTTTTGAAAATCACCAGGCGACCCCCCCCTTCATTGTCCGCGACCCCTCGGGGGGGTCCCAACCCCCACTTTGAGAACCTCTGTGATATGGCGCCACAGCCAAATTACCCCCCAGCCCAAGACTGGTTACTCACTGAAGCTAAGCAGGGCTGAGCCTGGTTAGTATCTGGATGGGAGATCACATGGGAAAACTAGGTTGCTATTGGAAGTGGTGTTAGTGAGGCCAGCAGGGGGCGCTCAACCTTAGGTCTGTGTGAGTCCTAATGCCCCAATATAGTGAAGGGTACGTTATGCTGTAGGTGAGTGCCGTCTTTCGGATGAAACGTTAAACGGAGTTCCTGGCTGTCTGTGGTCATTAAAAACCCCATGGCACTACTTGTAAAGAGTAGGGGGGTAACCCCGGTGTAATGGCCAAATTTCCTCCATCAGCTCTTACCCATCATGGCCTCCCAATCATCCACATCCACCGAATTGGCTCTATCATCGTCTCTCCACTTCACCTATAGCTGGTGTGTGGTGAAGCACTGGCGCTGTTGTCCTGTGGCTGCCGGAGTATCATCCAAATGGGTGCTGCACTCTAGTGGTGGAGTGAAGAGACCCCCCCCCCCACCCCCCACCCCCCCTCTCAAGACTGTAAAGCGCTTTGGGTGTATGGCCATACTCGACAAATAAGCTATATAATGCACATTACATAATTTAAGTATTTATAAAAAATAATAGATAAATGTTTTTTACGATTTTTAGTTAGCTGGTGCAAATAATAAAAATGACTGATCATGCTCTTTTGTGAGTTATAATTACGCTTTTTCCTTCTGTGAAACCGAAGCCTGCAAAGAAAACTCCAGAGCCGTCGTCTCCAGTCAAAGCAGTGGATGATGAAGATAATGGTGAAGATGAAGACGATGATGATGATGAAGAAACGCCGCCGCCTGTCGTCGCACCCCGGCCTGAACACACTAAGAGCGTAAGAATTAAACTTTGTTAAAGGGGTCACATGATGCATTTGAATGAGTGGTCGAACTCATTCAGTAAGGTTTCATTAGTTGATGTATTTACTAACATGATCTAATAATGAACAATACTTATACGGCATTAATAAATCGTAGTTCAGCATTTACTAATGCATTAATAAAATACAAGTTCATGTTTTCAATTTAATTTTTTATTCAAATTCATATTTTCAAATATGGTAATGGCCGTAACCTTTCCATCACACTTGAGGTAGTTGGCCAATCACGACACGATAAATAGCTGGCCAATCACATTTTGTTAGAAGCTAATATATCAAATATGGTAAGCGCCGTAACCTTTTCATCACACGCTTGAGATATTCGGCCAGTCACGACACGATAGATAGCTGGTCAATCACATTGCGTTGGATTCTAATATTTTAAATATGGTAAACGGGCGTAACAATTCTGTCACACTTTAGATATTTGGCCAATCATGACGATCTAGATAGCTGACCAATCACATTTCGTTTGAAGCTGGTATCCGAAATATGATAAGGGGCTTAACCTTTCCATCACACGCTTGAGGTACTTGGCCAATCACCACACGTTAGATAGCTGGCCAATCACATTGCTGTAGAAGTTAATATTCCAAATATGGTAAGAGGTGTAACCTTTCTGTCACACTTGAGATATTTGGCCAATCATGACAAGCTAGATAGCTGGCCAATCAGATGCGTAAAGGGGCATGACCTTTCTATCTCAGTTTTCATAAGCTGTTTGGTCAATCACAACACAATTGATCACTGGCCAATCAGATCACTCAGTGCTTGTCAGAATGATGAGCTTTATAAAAATTGTGTGTTTCAGAAAGGTGCTGCAGAGACGAGCAACAATAGGGTTTGATTTGTAGAAAATATCCCATTTTTAAAACGTCCAACTTCGCATTACACCAAATACTATTTTTAATTCCAAATAATATTGTTTAACAACATCAAATGAGCCCTTTAAGTTTTTATTTTTAGCTACTTCCTCCAACAAGAGGTAAATAAACTCCGATCGATATGCTTGTTCCACCTTGCTCTTAATAACATGGACACGTGTACATGTAATTACTGCAATAATTTAATCTTGGCATAACTATGCAAAACACGAATAAACCTTAAGTGTGAGTTTAGTGATAGTAACGCTTGATATTTCAGGTATACACTCGACCGTCGGTCATCGACCCACTCCCCCCGCCGGTGACGTCTCCAGAAAGTGACGCAGCGTCGAAGGCCACTGACCGACAGAGACCCAAAAAGGGCAAGATGACGGACGAGGAGATCATGGACAAGCTCAGTACGTCTCCTATAATCAACTCTCTCTGCTGTTGTTCACCGTTTCTACGAGACTCAAATTAGGTTTAATCTTTGTTCACCCTCAGGAACCATAGTCAGCATTGGAGACCCCAAAAAGAAATACACACGATACGAGAAGATCGGACAAGGGTAGGTTTGGGGATTTTTTTGCAATGTTAATACTGTTGTAGACAAAATTATTAATTATTATTATTAATAATATTGAAATATTTTTTCTTCTAAAAGGAAAGTCTTGTTTCTGTTAGTTTGGCTGTAACGAATTTTTTAGGATAATTCACACATGAATAATTTGTGTTTTTCGCAGAGCGTCAGGAACCGTGTTCACCGCAATAGACGTCGCCACTGGACAGGAGGTGCTGAACGAGACACAGATGATATGTAAAATTGTTTTTTTCTTGCTTTCTCATCATCATTAATGTGTTTGTTTGTATTTCAGGTGGCCATCAAACAGATCAACCTGCAGAAACAGCCCAAGAAAGAGCTGATCATCAACGAGATCCTCGTCATGAAGGAGCTGAAGAATCCAAACATCGTCAACTTCTTAGACAGGTAACCGCTCGAGTACAGATTGACTGTGAGAAATGTGTTTTATTTATAAAAGCACACGTTGACTTTAGATGACGGCACTATTAAAAATGATTTTTTTTATTCTATGATTGTTTTTTTGTTGTTGTTTTTTTAAGTTAAATCAGGTTAAAAAATGTTTCTACAATATATTCAGCCTTTTACCATATCTAACAGACTCCAGGCAGTGATTTTTGTCAAGTTGTATATGTAAAATTTTATTTAGTTTATTTAATATTTGGGCGAACAAACCATGTTTATTCTAGGAAATCATGTATTTATTTTTGTTTTAAACAAAAAAAATTATTTAAGTTGGCGCCAGAGGTGTAGTGGTTAGTGCGTCGACACATGCACTCCGGTGCTCGCAGCAACCCGGGTTCGATTCCGCCTTGCGGTCCTTGCCGATCCTTCCCCTCTCTCTGCTCCCCATGCTTTACTGTCAATTCTCTCTTCTGTCCTATCAAAAATAAAGGTGAAACCCCCCCCAAAAAATGTATTATTTACTTGTATAAAGAAAAAACTCACTTCTTTTTGTTCCCTTGTTAACAAAACAATGTTGTTCTTGTTCAGAAAAATGCGTCCTTAAGATTTTTTTAGATATTTGCACTAGAAACAAAACAAAAAGCATTTCATTGCAGTGTAATTCTTATATTCATTTATACACGGGGTGTCTGTGGGGTCTTAAAATGTCTTAAATTTTAAAAACAAAAAGTCTTAAATTCACTGAAATATTGTGTTGTAGGTCTTAAATCATTTCAAACCGGTCTGAATTTTAATCTGTCAATTTACAGTTAAACAATTGGGCAAACACCCATCCTATCACCAGCAATGCATCTCAATAAAACTAATAACAAAAGTTTATTAACTCTATTTGCCAATATGGATTTATTTTCTATACAATAACATATAGTTTTTATGTTTTAACCGGGCCATTAGAAACACTAGTGTTTAACCCTGTGTAAGTCTGAATATTAATTTGTAATGGTCTTAAAGTCTTGAATTTGACTGATGAAAACTCTGCATGTATGAACACAGCATTTGTTGTCTTGAGCACATTAAATGGAAACTGGTCAGTGTTTGCAGATTATTCTCCACAGTTTTGCATGTAATGATGCTTCTGAGGCCGTACTCACACTAGGTACAGTTGCCTCGAACCGGGCCAAAGCACGTTTGTCCCCCCTCCCGTCTCCCCCGACAGCCCGCGCTCACACCATATCGGGCCTCGGCACGCTTACGTCATCGCTGCTGCGCTGTTCAGAAGCGCTCTCTATGGCAAGCCTTTTTAGCATTTAAATCTTTGTTCTGACTCCATAAATATATTTAGAGATATCTCTAATTATATTTTGACTAGTCATAATTATAATTCGACTAGTCAGAATAACAATTAGAGATATCTGCAATTACAATTGTACTAGTACGAAATCAGATTGGAGATATCTGCAAATATATTATGACTAGTCATATTCCTCCATTGACTTCCATTGAAAAATATTTGCAGATATCTCTAAATGAGTTTTGACTCGTCACAATTGTAATTAGAGATATCTCTGAGTTTTTACTAGTCATAATACATTTGAAGATGTCTTTAACTCGTCATATTTAGAGATATTTACAAATATATTTGAAGATCTCTAATTAATTTACTAATAGTCAAATTACAGTTGTAGATATCTTGAATTGGATTTTTGACAAGTCAAAACTCAGAGATATCTGCAAATATTTTTAATGGAAGTCAATGGAGGAATATGACTAGTCATAATATATTTGCAGATATCTCCAATCTGATTTCGTACTAGTACAATTGTAATTGCAGATATCTCTAATTGTCATTCTGACAGTCGAATTATAATTATGACTAGTCAAAATATAATTAGAGATATCTCTAAATACATTTATGGATAGTCAGAACAAGGTTTAAATGCTAAAACGGCTTGCCATACGCTCTCACTCAGCAGCACAGAGGAGATTTCTCTAGTTATATCGTTTCAGTCGTTTGATATGACGTCAAATATTTCGCCAAACAGTTCTTAGGGATGCAATGACACGCAGTCAGATATTTCGCCGAACAGATCCGCCACTTTTGGCGCTCATAAACAATCATTAAGCTCTCGTGCTGCAGGAATAAGGAGGTCTGCTGAAGGTGCAGCTGTCGTGCAGTGAGGGGTTTGCGTCTTTAATAAACGACGGCAGTTAGCGTTCACTGAACAGTAAGAATGATTAATAAATCCATATCAAACAGTCCCTTAAAAGTCACGTCTCGCTTTCGGTTTCGGGCTTTGGCGCGTTTTGCGCTCACACACAAGCGTACCGCGCCAAAGCCCAAGTGTACCGCGCTCAGACACACCTCTTCCAACCGGGCCAGGGCCGGCCAAGTGAACCGTGCTTGAGCGCGATTCAGCGCACTCACACTTCACAAACAATCCGGGAAACGGGCCTGGGCACGGTACGGATGGCATAGTGTGAGTAGGCCCTGAGAGAGTTAAGTGTGTGTGTGTGTGTGTGTGTGTGTGTGTGTGTGTGTGTGTGTGTGTGTGCGTGTGTGTGTGTGCTGCAGTTTTCTTGTAGGTGAGGAGCTGTTTGTGGTGATGGAGTATTTGGCCGGCGGGTCGCTCACCGATGTCGTAACTGAGACCTGCATGGATGAAGCTCAGATCGCCGCTGTGTGCAGAGAGGTGTGCTTTACTCAATTTTCCCATTTAACTCACGAAAAACTCATCTTATATCTTATATGAAGCCTTATATGACCATATACAGTTAGCAAAGATAATTAAGGCAGTTATTTGCCCTCCTGTGAAATATTTATTCTTTTCAAATATTTCTCAAGTGATTTTTAATGGCGCAAGGAGATTTTCCAGAGTATTTCCAATAATACTTTTTTCTTTAAGAGAAAGGCTTATTAGTTTTATTTTGACTGGATTAAAAGTAAAATAAAAATATATATTTCTTTAAAGCTATTTTACGGTCAATATTATTAGCCCCCTTAAGCAATATTTGTTTTGGGTGGTCTACAGACCAAACCACTGTTATACAATGACTTGCCTAATTACCCTAATTTGACCCTAATTAACCCAGTTAAGCCTCTAAATGTCTCTTTAAGCTGAATCTTGGAGAATATCCAGTCAAATATTATGTGCTGTCATCATGGCAAAGATAAAACAAATCAGTTATTAGAGATGAGTTATTAAAACTATTATTCTGGAGGAATCTTTGAGTTATATCATTGAATATTAAACTAAAACAACATGTATGGCTCATTATCAGTGTTATTATTTGTATATTTGTTTTGTACTATGAATAATACAAGGCAATAGTTCTGATTGTAAATGATATATATGGCATATTTAGTTGACAGCAGTGAAAATTTGGTCTGTGGACAGGATGAACATGTACCTTTCTCTAATCAGTCCACCTTCACTGTCTTTCCCACATCTGAGAAAGTTGCAGTGTGGAGCCCCAAAGAAGTGCACCACCCAGACTGCTGCATGCCCAGAGTGAAGCATGGGGTTTGGTCTGGGCTGCAGTATCATTCCCTTGGCCCAATACTTGTGCTAGACACTGTAATCAAACACTGTATCTTGAAGCAGGTGCCCTGTATCAGGATGATAATGCACCAATACACACATCAACCCTGGTGACAGAGTGGTTTGATGAACATGAAAGTGAAGTTGAACATCTCCCGTGGCCTGCACAGTCACCAGATCTAAATATTATTGAGCCACTTTGGGGTGTTTTGGAGGAGTCAGGAAATGTTTTCCCCCAGCAGCATCACGTAGTGACCTGAACACTACTCTGCAAGACGAATGGCTCAAACTCCCTCTGGCCACTGTGCAGAACTTGTATTCCGAAGACGGTTTGATGCTGTATTGCTGCAAATGGGGGCTCTACACCATACTAATGAATTACTGTGATCTAAAACCAGGCCTTTCAGTTTCGTTGTCCAACCCCTGTATGTATGTATGCATGTATGTATGTATGTACGTACTATTAATTGATTGAATTTACAGAAGTAATACTACAATATTGTGATATCGTTATTGTGATACAAGATTACTTATATCATGATATGTTTTTTTTGTAATGTCGCCAAACCTAGTATGTGTTAACAGGAAGCAACCATGCTGCTTAACTAAACACTTCCTCTTGTTTGTTGTTATCTTTCAGTGTTTGCAGGCGCTGGAGTTTCTTCATGCTAATCAGGTCATTCATCGAGACATCAAGAGCGACAACGTGCTTCTAGGAATGGACGGTTCTGTCAAACTCAGTATGTTCTGCTTGCTTATTGAATAATAACCACAAAAAAATAATTGCTTACATTTATATAGCGCTTTTCTAGGTAATCAAAGCATTTTACACAATATTGATTGGAAATCTCTTCATCTACACCACCAAAAAAAAGGACAAAGATGCTGATTGTAGTTTAACGCTGTAACTTACTGAATAGTTTCCTTCATACCTGGCTTTGATAGGCGTCATGTTGGGTTTGGTGAACAGTTGCGCTCTTGTAAGACAGAAGTAGGTGCATATAAGGCCATTAAGGTGCATTCACTATAGATGTGCTAGCAAAACATTGACAGATTTGAGTGAGTAAAGGGATTGATTCTCATCTGAAAGCTGAATATACATTTGAAGAATTTTGGGAGGTGTTTAAAGTGGTCATATTTTGGAGTAATTGACTGTTTTCGACCCTCATTGGAATGCTTTGGTTGAGTGGATGTGGCCGAATGTAAAGTCAGAAGTAAACACCCACTGCTGTGATTGGCTGACCGTTTTGCATATTAACAGGGCTAAACAGGCAGTGAAGTATAAGTGGCTGTCAATTTTCTGTGGAGGCGGCGCTTATTCACCTTATTGCATCATAGAATAATTCAGGAGTGGCCAAACTTGGTCCTGGTTAGCCGGTGTCCCGGAGAGTTTAGCTCCAACCCTAATCACACACACCTGAACCAGCTAATCGAGCTCTTACTAGATATACTAGATACCTCCAGTCAGGTGTGTTGAAGCAAGCTGCAACTAAACTCAGCAGGACGCCGACCCTCCAGAACTGAGTTTGGACACCCCTGGAGTAGATAATTCCAGAACGTGTTTATTTTCCTTCCATATACGCTGAATTTATAGCATGTGTCAAACTCAGTTCCTGGAGGGCTGCAGCTCTGCACAGTTTAGTTATAACCCTGTTTCAACACACTGGCTGTTTCTCAATATGCGTTCCTCAGCGGTCTTGCGTCCTCGTGTTCTTGTGGCTGCTTAACGTCATCGTGTTCTCGTAACGTCATCATCAGCTGCCAAAGTTCAGTTCCAATACTCAAGACCGCAAGAACATAGGATTGAGGATGCACCGATGCAGACTTGAGCATCGATCTCGCACTAGAAGTCCCAGAAATCATTGCGACTGGAGGTGGGAATCGCAGCATTTTATTTCTAATTATTATTAATGTTCAGAGATGTCACTTATTTACCTAAATGAAACGGTGAAAGTAAATATTACAGTGGGCATCTTAATCAACGAATAAACACATTAGGGCTGTTTGTTTCCTAAAATTCGTATTAAAATCAGTATTTTGAAAAGGGGAAAAACAATAAGTCGTTGTATGAATGCTGTAATGTTTAAATAACTGAACAATTAAAACGCGTGAAGGTCATGTGACCATCAGGAAGAACGCAGCATCTTATTCCTCACAGGACACGATCTCTGTACTCGTGGTCTCCTGAGTTCATTCTTCCGAGGACACCTGGCAAGACCGGTCTCCACACGAACGCAAGTCCGTTCTCTGCGTTCTTGGAATTGAGAAACAGCCACTCACCTGTAGGTTTCAAACTAGCCTGAAGGACTCAATTAGTTAGATCAGATGTGTTTAATTAGTAAGGGTGTCACGATCCTCCAAATCTCGATTCGATTACATTTTCAATTCTAAAGGCACGATTCGATTTTCGATTATAAATAATTAATTAATTAATGACGAATTAATTATTTGTAGCCTACCGTTTAAACTACCTGACCTGCATGGTCATTGTTTTACCCATAAACAAATCATACAGTACATGAATAAAGGTAAGATACACACATAATTAGCACCTGTCAATCACTTTTTCTGCGGGACTCGTGAATAGGCAGTGATCTGTGTCGTTATAATGGCGTCGGTAAAAAAGACGCACAACCATCAGGAACCAGCCAACAGTATCTGAGGTGTTCGCTAAAATGACTAAGTACAAGTGAGTGAAAGATTGAAGCAGTCCTCTGACTGCCTGGACCCGCTGTTAGTGCGTCTGTGTGGTCACGTGATGTTTCAGAGGTAGAGAGGAAGGAGGGCTGCTCAGAAATGCTACACACCACTGTGGATGTCAAATCGTTGTCGTTCTAAAATGCCATTTAAAAACAAAGACAGTGTAAACAGGGCCTGAGTGTGTACTTTTCGCGAGCTGATTTGCAACGGGGGCGGGCGGAGGATCGCGATGCTGGTGTTGTCTATCGGACAAACCGTACGTAAAACGTACATAGCAGAGCTTGCAAAACTGTGTTGTTTTTTTTGACGACAACACGAACGTTGTCAGCATAACTCACTGGAAATCCAAAATGCTTCCACACCGGTGACTTCATTGAAAGAGGAGAGGGTTTAAGCTCTGTCGACGGGTCTCCTGCGTCTGCAGTTTATCAAGCACTTCAACAAGCCTGTTTTTTTCCCGCTTGGCAAGCCAAGCTGACGTGACATGGGGGCGTGGCAGCATCGACGATTCTATTTTTTGATTCGATAATCGAAATTGAGCATAAATTTCTATCGATTTCGATTTAAAATCGAAATCGTGACACCCCTATTAATTAGGGTTGAAGCTAAACTGTGCAGAGCTGCAGCCCTCCAGGAACTGGATTTGTGGCCTGTAATTTAAAGGAACCACTACAGTGTTGAGTTCTAAATCTTACAGGATGAGTTTGTAGTACTACAGACTCTTATTTGACAAAAGATCAAGGGGATTTTGGTTTCGCCGTTCGCAAACCTTTTGATGCTTCTCATTAAGTTCACGCTCTTTCCTTCAGACACACTCTTTATGTCTAAGTCTGAGTAGAGAATTGGAGAGTAGAAACAGAGTTGCACAATGCTGTACATTATCTAATAAGATCAAAAGAATAAAACAACATACAATCAGTAAATATAAAACCTATAAAGAAGCAACCAAGTGCAAATAACTCTGGTATCAAATGTCTTTTGTAAAAGGTCAAGTTTCAGTTTCCCTCTGTGGAGATTATCCTTAACATATCTGTATGAAGTAGACTCTTCTCCAATTTGGGGCCAAGAATGGCAAAGGATCTCCATTTTCTCTTTAATTTTGTTCTGGGAAACTTTAACAATTTCTGACTTGATGGCTTTTAGCAAGTAGCAAATATGTTAAGTCACAAGTTGAGATGAATAATAAGCTGTCCGAGCAGTTAAACCCTTAAATACAAAGAGTTTCATTTTGAACTCTATTCTAAGACATCCTCACAACCAGTGCAGAGAGAGTAAGACAAGTGCCAATGAGAAGTCTAGCAGTTGTGTTTTGGATTACTTGTAGGCGATTTATATGGGATTGACCAATAAATGTATGAATTGAGTTGCAGTAGTCCAGACACAAAGATATTAATGCATGTATTCCTCTCTCTAACTCAGCAGGGGTTAAAAAAGCCTTACACTTGGACCAGTATATACAAAAAACCAAAGGTCTTGCTCATTTAAAATTGTGTAAATTATGAAATGGTGTTTTTGTACTGTCCACGTACATTACCAAGAGCTGAAATGTTAGTGGAAAATGGCCGTCTATGAATTTCAGTACAGATTGGTACCAAACTCAATATTTTTGACAACCCTGCTTCAAATATAAGAAAAAAAACTGAATCACAGATCCTATTACTGATCCCCAACGCATAAGCTCTTTATTGTCTGGATTTGATCTGAAATGCCTGAATTTGTCTTATTTTGACTCCTCGAGTCTTCAATAAAATGAAACAAACCAGGTCTAGACATGTCTTTAACAGTCTTCGTTTTGTGTCTTGCTTCGCAGCGGACTTCGGTTTCTGTGCCCAGATCACTCCCGAACAGAGTAAGAGGAGCACGATGGTGGGTACGCCGTACTGGATGGCTCCGGAAGTGGTGACGCGCAAAGCCTACGGACCCAAAGTGGACATCTGGTCATTGGGCATCATGGCTATCGAGATGGTGGAGGGAGAGCCGCCGTATCTCAATGAGAATCCACTGAGGGTACATTTCTGTCAGCGCTTCTTCATCAAGAGTTTCAATAGGAGTGGACGACTTGTTTATTTTTTATAATATTATTTTCTTTCTTTTTTCCACACATGTATTCCAATTCTGGTTCCTGCAACACATTTAAATAGAAATGTTGGGGCAGAAGCAATTTAGGGCTAGTAATCAAGCAGATTAAGGTGAAATAATTATTTGAAACGGGTGATGCCAACAGGTGGTTTTAGTTATTATTATATGGTAAAAAGCAGCATCCAAGAAAGTCTAGTTCTTTAGGAGCAAAGATGGATCGAGGATCACCAGTTTGCCCACAAATACCTGAGAAAATTATTGAAATGTTTAAAAACAATGTTCCTCAAAGAAAGAGAGGAAGACATTTGGATATTTCACCTTCAACAGAGCATAACATCACTAAAAGATTCAAACAATCTGTAGGAATTTCTGTGCTTAAGGACAATGGTGTAAGCCTAAGCTGACCTACCGTGATCTCCGATCCCTCAAGCGGTGCTGCATCAAGAAGCTTCATTCATCTCCAAGCCAGATCAGCACATGGGCAAACCTTTGTCAAGTACCACAATATGTAGTTGCATCAACAAATGTTAGTGAAAACTGTACTGTGCCAAAAGGAAGCCCTATGTTAACAGTGTCCTGAATCGTCGTTGACGTGTGCTCAGAGGCATCTGGAATTACCCATTACATAGTGGAAATGTATACTGTGGTAAGATGAATCAGTATTTCAGGTGTTTTTTGGGAGAAATGGATGCCGTGTGCTCCGGATCAAAAAAGAAAACCATCATCCAGACTTACCAGCAACAAGTCCAAAAGTCAGCGTCTGTCATGGTATGGGGTTGTGTCAGTGCCCTTGGCAAAGGTAACTTGCACTTCTGTGATGCTCTATTATTGCTAAAAAGTACATAGAGTTTTTAGAGCACAATATGCTGCCTTCTTTTCAACAAGACAATGCAAAACCACATTCTGCACAGTCCTGGCTGAGGAGGACGAGGATACAGGTACTTTACTGGCCTGCCTGCAGTTCTGACCTGTGTCCAATAGAGAATTTTTGGAGCATTTTGAAGTGCAAAATGCAACAACGAAAACCCGGTACTGTTGCCCATCTCAAGACTTGTTTGCCGGAAGAATGGGACAAATCTGCACCTGAAACACTTCATCACGTGTTGTCTTTAGTCCCTAAACGTCTTTTAAGTGTTGTAAAAAGGAATGGGAACATTACACAGTGGTAAATGCTTTACTGGTCCAACTTTTTTTGAAATGTGTTGGAAGAGCCCAAATTGAAATATATGTTTATTTTAAAAAATCTAAATCATGAGGAGCACAATAAATAAGGTTTGTGGTATTGTCTGCAATGGAACAGACGTCAAAGTAAATTTAGAAATCACTACTTTATTATTAGCATTTTCTATACTGTTCCTACTCTTTCTGATTTGAGGTTTTAAAAACTAGCCTAGTGTTGTTAAAATCTCAGAATCAAACCCAGAGAGAATCATCCTGGATTCTGAGAAACAGTTCACGAATCGTCACAGTTGTTGATGATGTAATTGCTGTAAATGATGTAAAAACCCCAAACCTATCATCCTTAAGGCGCTGTACCTGATTGCAACCAATGGCACTCCAGAGTTGCAGAGTCCCGAAAAGTTGTCGCCAATCTTCCGAGACTTCCTAGGTCGCTGTCTGGAAATGGACGTCGAGAAGAGAGGTGGAAGCAAAGAGCTTTTGCAGGTAAACAAAATACCCAGCAATTAAGCAATACCATGTTAGGCTTAATGACAGTTTCTTGTGTCAAGCTTTTAGTATGATATTGATATAGTACATGTTACAATATGATATACTCAGGGGTGGAAAGTAACAAATGACAGAAAACAATTACAAATGTCACTGATGAGAAAATAAGGGATGTTTACTGTATGATGACTGAAGTCTCCAAATGGCCTTCAACAATTATGAAATGCGCTACAGAATGTTACGTTTTCACACACACTCACAAATTGCATGTAAACACATTTGCAGTGTAATACTCGATATTCTTGGGTACTTTTAAAAGGGCTACTTTTTAACCATTTTTTTAGTAATATTTACAACAGATACTTTTACTCAAACTACAATTTTGGGCAAGTAATGGTACTTTTACTTGAGTATGATTTTACAGTGCTCCTTCCACCGCTGGATATACTGTAATATCATGACATTGACCTCTGTTGCAAAAAAAAAAGTTACTTTAACAGGTATTATAACAAAACATGCTTGCTGTATTGCTTTGTGTATGTACATGTTCAGAGTAAACGATTGTTTTAACCCAATTTAATTGCCAAGGAGTTATAAAGTGTAAAACACTTTACAGCAATGTCTCATTAGTAAATGCTAGTTTATTAAGTAGTCAGATTTGTTACCGCTACTATGGAAATATTAGTTACATAAATACAACAGTATTTTATTAGTTATTAAATAGTTAAAGGATTACGAGCAGATTTTGACTACAATATAAACACATTAATGTATTATAACCTTAAGTATATCCAAACTCAAATTAAATTTTTATTTGTCACATACAGGCATACATTGTTTAAGCAGCCACAAAGAGCTTAGATTGACCAAGAGGCGACACTCAATAGAACGTTCCATTGCAACAGCAGCGCCCAGCAACAGCCCCGGATTCCGCCATTTAGGATTAAAAGCGATCGGCCGTCCATTGGATCTCAATACAGTCGCGATGGCAAGCAGCTGCTTTGTTTTTTATTTATTTATTTAAAAAGTGCATTTAAGCTGAGATATAACCTGAAAGACGACAATACAACACTTACTATCACAATCATCAGCACTTTTAATAGTTTATTTTACAGACTTAAGCCTGATTTATACTTCTGCGTCAGGTGACCGGCGTAACCCCCGGCGCATGCAAGGCGCGTGGCTGTGCATTTATACTTCTGCGCGCTGTCTCTGTTGGTCTGCATTAACACTTCCGAAACGCTAGTGGGCAGTGAGGTGTAAATGTTCCTCTGTGTCGAGTTTCTTCTCTGCTTTTTTGCTTTTCCTGAACACTTCCGAAATGTACAAGTGGCTCAAACTCGCTCATTTTGAGGCAGGAACCGGCGGATGTGCAACAACTTTAACTATGAGGTAAACACAAAACAAAACTTTGCATCCGGAGCTCCTTCACGGGACTCCACACTTGCAAACAATCGCTCGCGCCATTCGCGCGGCTCTCGGTCCCGCCCAGACTCGTCAGCGCTACCAAGCCGACCAATCACAGAGCTTACGCTACGCGTCGTTGCAACGTGTAGTTACATTTTTTTAAAGAGCACGTCAGTGACGGCGACGGCCACGGCGAAGGGCTATGCGTCAGCGCCGTAGCATACGCCGGCGTTTGACGCAGAAGTATAAATCAGCCTTTATAATATGCTGTTGTTCTATTGGAGTTTTCATTCCAAAATGACCCTCTAGTGGCTGTTTCCCAAATTACACTAGAGTGTCGCCTCTTGGTCATTCTAAGCTCTTTGGCAGCCACCAGTGACCCTAAAAAACTAAAATAATTTAAACAAGAATCTAAATGATGGAATACAGTAATTAAACACACAGAAGGTTTTGATATAGAAATGAATAGCATAGCTATAGTAGATTTAACAAAATCTAAAAAAGCTTAGCTATACAATCAAACATAGAAAACACAGAAAAAACTGCCCAGAGAGGAAGAGTGTGTATCGCACTAATGTACAATAGCCCTCAATAGTCACAGAATTGTGTCGATCGATATTTTTACGTCTATTAGGCCGTTAGCATACGAAAATGTTCACGTTTGAACTATTAAGCTAACTATGTACTTCTCCAAGCTGTCACAAACACCACTGCAAATGCAGTCTGAACATTCTCCAGCACTCTAAAACGTTTAATATTAATTATTGGTATTTATTTTATTTTATATTGGTATTTAATTATTGTATTGTGCATGTTCACGATCATGATATATTGAATTGTTGCATAAAAACCTGCAGTTTCGCACAATTATTCACCCTCCTGTGCATTTGGTTTCTCAAATATTTCCCAGATGATGTTGAACAGATTCAGGAATTTTTCACAGTATTTCCTCTAATGTTTTTTCTTCTGGAGACAGTCTGATTTGTTTTATTTCGGCTACAGTAAAAGCAGTTTTTATTTGTTTTGAAACCATTTTAAGGTCAAGAATATTAGCCCTCTTAAGCAAGATTAGTTTTGGATTGTCTCCAGAACAAACCACTGTTAAACAAAGACTTGCTAAATTACCCTAACTTTACCCTAGTGAGCCTAGTTAAGCCTTTAAATGTCACTTTAAGCATCTTGAAGAATATCTAGTCAAATATTACGTACAAAGGTAAAAGAATTCAGTTATTAGAAATGAGTTAATAAAACTGTCATGTTTAGAAATGTGTTTTCTGTTGAACAGAACTGTATGTCTCTTATACATAATGTGTTATTTGTTTAATTGATCAAATCCCACTGTCGTCTTCAGCATCCCTTCCTGAAGTTGGCCAAACCTCTCTCCAGTCTCACTCCTCTAATTCTGGCCGCCAAGGACGCCATGAAGAACAACCGCTAGCATCCCGCTAGGAACGAGCTGTGCTCGCGAGCGCAGCGGACTGCTGAACACTCTCGAAAAAAAAAATCTGTGCCAGGTGTTTTTACCAAGTGTGTCAACAACATATCTGTGTTGCCAAAACAAAAACTCCAAGCATTTCATTTTGGGTCTTTGCCTGTTTTTAAACCTATATTGACCGCTGTGGTATTTGGAGGGCCATTAGACGGTCCTCCCCATCTCATTTAGATTCTTGTGGGACTTTGTCTGTGTTTTACGTATGAACTCTTCCACTCTTTTTGGCTTCTGTAGACCTCGCATCTTCCATGATTGACGACCGGATCAGTTATGGCGAATTCAGATGCAGCTGGAGACGTTGTTTTGCTAGTCTTTCTGTAGCCAGAATCACGACTGAAAACTGTGTAGCCTACTCCTGTTCTTGACCCGAAGGGAAGAGCACTTTACCAATACACGCCAACTGCGAGCAGTGAATGATTTTTTGTAGTCACTCGTGCCTTTGTTGTTATTCCAGCAAACACCTTTATATACTCTGTCAGAAACAAGCAGATTATTTTGCCATCGAACTTCCTCTAACCTGAGACGTGACGAAACTTTTCATGTGATGAAGTTGTATGTATAGGATGACGTACTCCGAAGAAGCGTAGCATTTCAGTTGACGTAGTTAGCAATGAAACAGGGATGCGTACTGTAGATTAGATTATTGTGTATGTTTGTGTACATGAACACTCTTCTGTTGTCCTTTTAGTAACGGTTTAAGTAAATGCGGTTGTCATGATGTAAGAATTGATGACTATTTTTATGCTTGTCGGTCTCACTCGTTTTGCAAGTAAAATCCGGACTCCTGCAAACTCTGTGAACAATCCATGGTCATTGCAACGTCTGTGTACATCTCTTGTTCTTCATTAAAAGAGGACTTGAAACTTGACATCAGAATAAACTTTCATGAGTTAATGGGGTCGTTCCTGTTATGCCGTGACATTTATAGTAATTGTGCCATGCTTCTGTAAATTAATGAGTTTTTTTTAAAGAGCGTAAACACTCATTCATTATAACTTGATTAATTTGCACATTACTCTGAGTGCTTGACTTTTTTAACATTTGTGTTTGTGTGTGTGTGGAGGGTTTTTGGTAGTAAATATCACATCAAAGTAGTATTCGTGAGATGATCAGTACTTGTTCAGGTCTATGTGGTGTGTTTCCCGTCAAAGGTGATTTCACTTCCTGCTTCTGAGAGGTAAATATAATACACTTTTCTTGTCTTATTTGCAAATATCTCCTTAAACCATGGTGAAATCATTTTCAGTTTTGATCAAATGGGGTTTTTAAATAATCAAACAATCCTTGTTTGTCATGTTGGGGATGTTTTCATGCACTCTGGGGTGATTTTGAGTCTTAATTTGGCCACAACTTTCTCTGTTTTCTTAGCAAATGAAATGTTTGTTGGTGATATCTTATTTTGACACATTTTGGGAAAATGCTTTGAACATTTTGAAAAATCCAATGCACTCTGGGCACTACCCTTTCATTATGTTTGTGGCTGTTTTTGCCCCATTGACTTCATTATAATGACATTTTTGATTGCAAAGCCATGACACAATATAATCATGCATTCTTAAGAGGTAAAATATCCTTTTTTCTGTTGCTTTTTCTGTTGCAGTACAAAAAAGTTTAGTTTCTGCCTTCTATATAGAATATAGTGTGTGTGAGACCTTTGCACACTTATTTTGATGGCTGATAAAATCTAAATATGCAGCTCAGCTCTCAGAACATAGTATAAATATATAAGTGTATTCATGCACACACACTCCATAAAACTCCGTATAAAAGCTAGAAACTTTTTTTGCACAGTTAATGGTATCAGCTGATGATCATTTTACTTTTCTTATTTGCAAATATCTCCTGAAACCATGGTGAAATAATATTCAATTTAGATCAAATGGGGAAACAAAAGGTTTATATATAATCAAAGAACCCTTGTGTGTGCTGTTTGGGATGTTTTCATGCACTCAGGGGTCATTTTTAAGTCTTAATTCCGCCACAACTTTGTTTTCTTAACAAATGGAATGATTTTTTGGTGAATATTTTGACATTATTTTGACATATTTTGGGAAGATGCTTTAAACATTTTTTTTTAAACCAATGCACTCTTGGCACTACCCTTTCATAACGTTTGTGACTGATTTTGCCCTATTGGCTTCATTATAATGACATTTTTCTGATTGCAAAGCCATGACACCATATAATACTGCGTTCTTGAGAGGTAAAATATGCTATATTTATTATTAATCAAACAATCCTTGTTTGTCATGTTGGGGATGTTTTCATGCACTCTGGGGTGATTTTGAGTCTTAATTTGGCCACAACTTTCTCTGTTTTCTTAGCAAATGAAATGTTTGTTGGTGATGTCTTATTTTAAAACATTTTGGGAAAATGCTTTGAACATTTTGAAAAATCCAATGCACTCTGGGCACTACCCTTTCATTATGTTTGTGGCTGTTTTTGCCCCATTGACTTCATTATAATGACATTTTTGATTGCAAAGCCATGACACCATATAATCATGCATTCTTAAGAGGTAAATATCATTTTTTTCTGTTGATTTTTCTGTTGCAGTGCAAAAAAGTTTAGTTTCTGCCTTCTATATAGAATATAGTGTGTGTGAGACCTGTGTGCACTTATTTTGATGGCTGATAAAATCTAAATATGCAGCTCAGCTCTCAGAACATAGTATAAATATATAAGTGTATTCATGCACACACACTCCATAAAACTCCGTATAAAAGCTAGAAACTTTTTTTGCACAGTTAATGGTACCAGCTGATGATCATTTTACTTTTCTTATTTGCAAATATCTCCTGAAACCATGGTGAAATAATATTCAATTTAGATCAAATGGGGAAACAAAAGGTTGAAAAATAATCAAACAACCCTTGTGTGTGCTGTTTGGGATGTTTTCATGCACTCAGGGGTCATTTTTAAGTCTTAATTCCGCCACAACTTTGTTTTCTTAACAAATGGAATGATTTTTTGGTGAATATTTTGACATATTTTGGGAAGATGCTTTAAACATTTTTTTTAAACCAATGCACTCTTGGCACTACCCTTTCATAACGTTTGTGACTGATTTTGCCCTATTGGCTTCATTATAATGACATTTTTCTGATTGCAAAGCCATGACACCATATAATCATGCGTTCTTGAGAGGTAAAATATGCTATATTTATTAATAATCAAACAATCCTTGTTTGTCATGTTGGGGATGTTTTCATGCACTCTGGGGTGATTTTGAGTCCTAATTTCAAATTGAATGATTTTTGGTGACATCTTATTTTGGGAAATGCTTTGAGCATTTTTTTTTTTATCCAATCCACTCTGGGCAAATTGACTAACCTTTTGTTATGTTTCTGGCTGTTTTTGCCCCATTGACTTCATTATAATGACATTTTTTGATTGCAAAGCCATGACACCATATAATCATGCATTCTTGAAAGGTAAAATATCATTTGTTTTCTGTTTATCTTCTGCTGTAGTACAAAAAAGCTAAGTTTCTGCCATTTATATAGAAAATAGTGTGTGTGAGACCTTAGCATACTTATTTTGATATGTCTGAGAAAATCTAAACGTGCATCTCAGCTCTCAGAACATAATAAATATATTAAGTGTATTTATGCACACTCTATAAAACTCCATATAAAAGCTAGAAACTTTTTTTGCATAGGCCTATCTAAAAGGTTAATGCAACCAACTGATGATCAACAGTAAAAATGATCAAATTTACCTCTTTCCTACAGGGAAAACCACCAGCAATCAAAAAATTTTAATTTAATTTTTTATTTTTTTTTAAATTACTTATTTTTTATTTAACTAGGTATGACTGTTTAGAACAGATTTTAATTACTTGCAAAAACAGACAGTCGAGCAATATTATTTACAAAAAAAAAATTATATTCAAAATTAAATATTAGATAGTGATTATTGTTTTATGAGCGGTATCCTTCTTCCCGCCGCTAGGATTCTAACTTCAACGGTCGATTGTGACGGACGCGAAAATCACCAGAGAACGCAAAAGTTGCGAAATTGACGATTATTCATGGACAAAATGGTCCATTCTTATTAGAAATGCACTTATGAGCGACATTCTGACGATATACACGTAATTTGGCGTCGAAATCAACATTCGGACGTATTTGGTGGATGTCAAGTTTGATCGGTTTCAACCTGTTGGTGAGTGGATGCATTAGGCTAAAACCCTACTCGACAGGTGATTTACTTAATTAGTTTTCTTTAAAGTTTTAAAGAGTAGACTTTTTGCGCTATTTCATTAAAACAGTATTTATTTACTGCAAGTTTGAGTGATGGACCGTAATAGAGGGCCAACGTTAAACCTCGAAGTTTTTTTCGCTTAAATGTGACGCCTATGCTAAGGTAAACAACGATGCTCATATATTTGGTAAGTAACGTTATAGCTGAAATGTCTGCGTTTGGTTGTGAACTTGTCTGGACAGGTAATGTTATTAGATTAGTTTAACGTAAGTTGTTTTAAACGTTAGGCTTTTGATGATGGACCCTAATCAAAAATAAGGCCTAAATTAATGTTAAACCTCGTCGAGAGTTTTGCTTAAATGTGACTAATATTAATGCAAAGAACGATGTTCATATTTTCGGCGGGGTGGTGTGTGCATTTGTTAGGAAAACTACTTGGACAGGTGATTTAATTATATTAACGTTAGTTTTCTTAAACACGTTTCCCTGCTGAAAAATCCAGCTTAAACCAGCCTAGGTGGTTGGCTGGTTTTAGCTGGTCAACCAGGCTGGTTTTAGAGAGGTTTTGACCACTTCCATGCTGGTTTCCAGCCATTTCCAGCCTGGCTTTAGCTGGTCAGGCTGGGAGATGATCAACTAAAACCAGCTTGACCAGCCTAGCAAGGCTGGCAACCCAGCCAAGACCAACTATGTCCAGCTTAAACCAGGATGGTCAAGCTGGTTTTAGCTGGTCACTTTCCATCCTGACCAGCTATGACCAGGCTGGAAACCAGCCTGGTCGACCAGCTATAAGCAGTCAACCATCCTAGGCTGGTTTAAGCTGGATTTTTCAGCAGGGCTGACATGATTTAGTTACTTATTTACTTTAAGTTTGAATGATGAATAGTATTCAAAAAAAGATAGCCTAACGTTAAACCTTTTCTAGATTTTTCGCTTAAGTGTTTATATAGTTTAAACAAGGATATTCATACTTTTGACAAGTGAGTTGGATGAAATGTCTGCATTTGGTTGAAACTGCACTGGGATTACGTTAGTTTTCCTAAACATGTTTGCTCGCGTAGGCTATATTGCATTCGATCTTATTATCAACGGTACAAGTCGAAAAATAAACATTTAAAACAATAAGTAAAACTTGAGTTTGCTTAATACTGATCATAAGAAACTCCAGATACAGGCCATGGTGTGTTTATGAAAATATATTTTAACTAATTTACAAATTAATCGTGGTTTTGTCATGTTTTAAAATAAGAAAAATAAGTCTTAATTTAACACAAAAGTGCAATTGATCATTATTTAAAGATTTCAACTGAGATTTATTCTAAGTCAACGCAGCCTATGTTTTTGTATTTTTCTTGTTAAAACTGGTTTGTATTTTTGGCTTGAGTTGATACTCATTTAAATTCAGCCCACCAGATCAAGTTTCCAACACAATCTAGTTTTCATATCTAATGTATTCTCTTTCTAAAATGCGTTAGTGTGTGGTTTTCTGGGACAAGCAAGTGAAGCTACGTTTGCATAATAGAACAAATCTCAAGTTCTGATCACAACCCAGAACTTTAGATGTAAAGCTTGGACTGTTTATCAAAAAACCTTTTATTTTACAAATTAATCATGGTTTAGCATTAAAGGGCAGTAAAGTATAACATTTGTTAACCTTTGAGTGTGAGGCGCCCCCTAGTGGTTAACTCATGCCCAACAACTCTGTTTCAACAACGGTCATCTACAAAAATGGATTTTAGCAACTTTAACAGCTGTTTTAGGTCAGGAACTCCAATGGTCAAGGTCAGTAGACACATTATGCTGTATTAGTTGTTTTTTCATACATTGCATTTTTATACATATGCATTTTATGAATGTCATTCATTCATGTCTTTTTCTCTACGAAGGCCAAACATCCTGATTAAATATTGAGAGCACTGCTAGAGGTGAGTACTTTTTTCAGTTATATTTTTGTAATAGTCTAATATTGAGTTTAATATTGATTATTGCATGACGAGTGCCATCTGTGTTTTACACTAACGATAAAACTTTTTGTTGAAACCAAGTTATCATGTGAGCATTGGTGGTTCAGTGGTAGAATTCTCGCCTGCCACGCGGGAGGCCCGGGTTCGATTCCCGGCCAATGCATCAGCTTATTTTAGATTTCTTTTACCTGGTTAAACACACATTTGTGAAATTTAGTTATTTACAGGGTTTAAAATTTACATTTTAGACCCTCAGACATCTCAATGCTCACATGTACCGTACAGTTGAACCAATTATTTAAGTGTATAAATAAACCTGTTTCAGCTTCATTTTATGAGTAGTTTAAAAATATTACTGTCAGCCTTTTTTTGCTCATTAACAGCAATGAACAACATGCGCTCATATCAGTATTACTGGTTTGAACTAATTATTTTGCAAGTCAGGTAAGTACATTTTAATTAAAAAAAAGGCAGACGTTTAACTTAAATTCAGTTTTATTTTTAGATACTTTGCGTCTGTTAAGCTATTTAAGTTTAGCAACCTAATTAAATGTGTTAATTAATTAACAGTTTTTTTATATTATCTAATTAAATTTTGTTTAAAACATTATTTTTGTCATGTTTTTATCTAAAAAAAATAAGTTATTAAAAAAAAGTATTTTTAGATAGATCTGATCATAGAATTCCATTTTTTTTTGTCTAGATTGCGTTAAGTAAGCTACGTACCGTTTAAAGTTCTCGCATTAGGCCCACTTCCATTTGTAGAAAAAAAATGTATTGCCATAAATCTTTGTATTGTCTTGTTAAAACTAGTCTAGTATTGAGTTGATTTTGACTGGTCAACACAGAATGTGTGTACTATGGTATAAATAAAATTTCCTGTGCTAGAGGGATGGACATGTGAGCATTGGTGGTTCAGTGGTAGAATTCTCGCCTGCCACGCGGGAGGCCCGGGTTCGATTCCCGGCCAATGCAACAGCTTTTTTTCTTAACACTTCTCTTGTTTAACGCAATTTTTTCAAATCTAGTTATTCACAGGGTCAGAAAATTTAATTTTAGACCCTCAGACATCCCAATGCTCACATGTTTTTAATTTTCAGTTGAACCAATTATATAAGTGTATAAATAAACCTTCTTTTGAGTCGATGTGATTTTATTAAACGTTACAAAATATTACTGTTAGCCTTTTTTGTTGGTTAAGGACTTTTTCCAGCAAACAAAAATTACATGCACTAATAATAGTTATTACTGGGTCAAATTAATTATTATTTTATTCTTGAATTATTAATAATGATTGATTCATAGTCAGGCAGCCACACATTTACACGTCAATTGTATATATAAAAAAACACAGATTAGTTTCTGTTTTAGTTTTAATTTAAAATACTTTGCATCTGTCAAGATATTCAAACTTAGCAGCTTTATTAAATTTATTATTAACATTTTTCTTTCTTTAGTTCATCCTAAGACTTTAAAGTTACTACCACTAAAGCTCTTTGTCTGTCTGTCTAGCAAACCCTAGTTCGGGCATGTTAGCAAAATGCTAATATGCTAGCAGCATGTGAAATCTTGCTAGCAACGTGCTAAGACATTCAAACTTTCCTTAAAATCCCAATTCCAGTTCCTTCCCTTGAATGCATGAACAAATTTGATGTCCAAAAAGAAATATTTGTTCACATTGTGTATATTAATTCAAGCTGGTGCGAATTTCTCTGCTTGTTTATTTCAGACCCTGCCTACCGATAAAGTCTTTGTGCGCCGTACTACAATGTTAAGGTAAGATGTGTTGTTACTACAACACTGCAGACCCATTTTCCTCTTTCTTTAATTGTAGAAACCATTTTAAACAAGTAATGATTAACAACAGACAGAGACATCGCTCCAGGCGTAGGAACAAAAGGACGTGTTTGCTTTTCTACAATCACTCCTCGTTAGTATAGTGGTAAGTATCCCCGCCTGTCACGCGGGAGACCGGGGTTCGATTCCCCGACGGGGAGTATACACTTTTTCTCCTTAAATATTTACAGCAAAACTGGCTTAATTACTTATTTAAGAGTGCTGAAGAGTCAATAAAAATATTTTTATAATTATTTTTGTGTTTAACATTGACAAAACAAATATTAGTAGGTCACTTCTCAAATTACATTCAGCTTATCAGCTTATAGCATCATAAGACAAAACCCTAAAACACATTTATTTGAGATATTGACAGATAAACAGTTGAAGTTAGAATTATAGCTCCCGTTTGTATGTATGTATTTAAGTATATATATATATATATATATATATATATATATATATATATATATATATATATATATATATAATAGAAAAATATATATGTGTGTGTATATGTATGTATGTATGTGTATATATATATATATATATATATATATATATATATATATATATATATATATATATAATTTTTTCCCCAATTTCTGTTTAACAGAGCAGATTTCTTCGACACGTTTCTAAACATAATAGCTTTACTAACTTATTTCTAATAACTGATTTATTTTATCTTTGTCATGATGACAGTACATAATTTTTGACTAGATATTTTTCAAGATACTAATATTCAGCTTAAAGTGACATTTAAAGGCTCAATTAGGGTAAAGTTGTCTTCTTTATAAAAAAAACAAAAAAAAACAAAAAAGATGCAGTTCCAGCTCATGCTTTAGTTTCTCCACAAATTTGCTAAGCGTGCTTAAACAGCCTACAATATTCAGATAGCTATGCAAGATATTATCAGTCAAACTTTACAATAAGCTTTCATTCGTTAATGTATTTACTAACATGAACTAGTAATGAACAATGCATGTACAGCATTCAATATTCAGTTTAACATTTACTAATTAATGCTTGTTACTGTAGTTAATGCACTGTGAGTTAACACGAACAACTGTATTTTCATCAACTAAGATGAACAAATACTGTATTAAATGTGTTGTTCATTGTGTTAGTAAAAGCATTAACTAACATGAACTAACACAGCATCATGGTAAAGTGTTCCCATGTTATCCCCTTTTGATTTTATAAGACAACTGACATGTCAAAGTTAATTAAGTTACTAAGTAGTTTGCTTTAACATTACTACAATATTGTGGGCAACAATTTTACACAATACACATTTCATAAATGCAAGGCAACATTTGTGGCCAAATGTTTTTTGGGTGATTTGACTTTGTTTAACAGTGACTGTTGGGTAGGGTTTCATGATTCTTTAATGTTTAATAATGTACTATGTTTAACTACTAGTACTACTTTGTTTCACTTTAAAAACAGTAAAAAAATCAATTAGTATTTGGTTTTAAATCAATTTAAAACAGACCTAAAATAAAACAGGAAACTTGTTGTCGTCTGAACGTGTTTTTTTTAAGCCGTGATTTCAGTGGGTGGTCTTCAGGGCCGGTTAGCTCAGTTGGTTAGAGCGTGGTGCTAATAACGCCAAGGTCGCGGGTTCGATCCCCGTACTGGCCAATAGTTTTTACCCTAGCTGTTCTTTGTTCATATTTGCACTTAAAAACTGGTAAAATGTGATTAAAACTATTATTCCTTTTACGTGTTACATAAAACTGTTTTTACGTTTTATATAATTTATAGGTTATTTTACCCATATTTTATATTAAAACATGTTTAAAGTTTTTACTTAATAAAATTATTGCTTTTAAATTATTAAAATTTTTTTAATTATAACTTTTTATTCAAACTTGGTAGCACTTTAGTTCAAAGGCTCATTTGTTTGCGATAATTAATTAATCCTTTTTTTTGTAAAGAAATAACCTGTTTTATGGTTGTGTAATAAAGAGTGTTAAAATATTATTGAAACTTTTTTGTCAAAAAGCTTTAATAATCATTTTTATGAATGTAATCCTTTTTCACATTTGTGAAAGTATCCATAAAAATGTTTATATTAGATAAATAAAATATTACAAATATTTTAAATATACTTCTCCATTTTTAAGTGAGATCATCAACAAAAAAACTTGAATAAAGTATAATCTAAATCAGTAATAAAGGATACTTTTTATATTGTTAAGTACAATTTGTTTGTAGTTTATCTTAAGAAATAAAGATAACAAAAGTATGAAGATATCCAGCAGGTGGCAGTATTTATCTATTAATCTAGTATAAAAAATACTAAACGCTTCAGTAGGAAAGTGTTTAAATCTTAAGATTACTTTTTAATAAACTAAAGCTTCATACTATTAAAGCTGATTTAGATTTCTCTTGTAAATAAAAAATTCTGCCCCGTGTGAGGCTCGAACTCACGACCTTCAGATTATGAGACTGACGCGCTGCCTACTGCGCCAACGAGGCCTGGTGACAAGTTGCACAGAGCCTGCTTATGAGCTACACATGCAACCCTGAAAACCAGGAGTGGAGTGTAGATCTCTGATGCTTTTTATTTCTATCTTTTAGATTTATATAGATTCAAATTTTATATTATAGAATTTAAATGCATGTATTTAAAGTAAAACAAGTTAAATGCACACTTTAAAAGAAAAATATATAATAAAAATAGTAGATTTGAAATACAAAAGCATGTGTAGTTACTGCACTTTTGCCTCTAGTGCAGATTTCAAATACATGCATTAAATATGAGATTTCAAATGCATATATATTTATACATTCACACATTAAATCATTTAGTCAATTAGGTGTATTTTATATTTGCTTTTATTTTATTTTGCAATTATATTTTTACAAAATTTAAATTCTCATTGTTATGATTTTAAGTTCACGACTGCTTGTTAAAGCATTTCACTGCATATCAAACTGTATGTGACAATTTTAAATAAAAGTGGCGATTGTCCAGAATTTGTCATCAATCGTCCACTAGAGGGAGCCAAATCTGAAGTCCACTTTCCCCCAGGTGGCCTTGATGAGGTCAATGTGTATCTGACCCATGTGTGTTTGTGATAAGAGCGTGGACTGTCCGAGTGCCACGTTATCACACACTGAGCAAATACAGCAGCACTGAGCTCGTGTCTTTCTTTCTTTCTGTCCGTCGGCTCATCATGTCGGGCCTGAACTCTTCTCTGGGCTTCTTCCTGGCGGTGGTGGGTTTGAGTGTGTCGGGCCGTCTTCTGCTGCGCCGATGGACCGTCCTGCTGGAGTTGGTCTCCGCGTTCGCTCTGTGCGCCTGCAGACTGGAGGTGGACACCATCGCAGAGGTGGGACAGTGGGCCGGAGCACTCGGGCCAGATGTTGCGGTCACAATGCTGTTCCTGTCCATCGCCGTACACACTGCCGTCATGCAGGTATGGTGGGAAAAATATTTGTTTAAGGGGGCTGATATTGACCTTAAAATTATTTTAAAAATATAAAAACTGCTTTTATTCCAGCGGAAATAAAATTAATAAGACTTCTCCAGAAGAAAAAACATTATAGGAAATACTGTGGAAATTTCCTTGCTCTGTTAAGCATAATTTGGGAAATATTTTAAAAATATTTCACAGGAGGGCGAATAATTCTGACTTCAACTGTTTATAAAAAATATTGTACAGTCATTTTAATGACATTTAGACAGCTCTGGCTTTGACTGGTTAATATGATCGAGCACAATATCAAGCAAACTTTAATTCAACGCATCTTTCTCACATATTTTAAGTTAGCAACATCTTGTATTGTTATCGTAATCCATCAAATGAGTTGATTTAAAATTCTCTGAATGTGTTTTAGTTAAGTCAGTATTATCACAAGTTAAACAAGATGCATATGAATAAAACATGTATAAATATATCATTTGTAGCACAAAATCTCAAAATAATCTGCCTTTAGTAATTCACAGTTGCTTGGATTTATAATGCATGATAATATACCATTATATTTTGAAAGCAAAAAATAAAGGCTGTTCCACATAAAGCATCTATAAACAAATTTAACCAGTAATCTTCATTCATTCATTCATTTTCCTTCGGCTTAGTCCCGTTATTTCTCAGGGGTCGCCACAGTGGATGAACCGCCAACTTATCCAGCATATGATTTCAAGCTGAATATACACTCATTCACACTCATACACTACAGCCAATTTAGTTAATCAATTCCCCCATAGCGCATGTGTTTGGACTGTGGGGGAAACAGGAGCACCAGGAGGAAACCCACGCCAACTTAGGAAGAACATGCAAACTCCACACAGAAATGCCAACTGACCCATCTGGGACTCGAACCATGGACCTAACTGTGAGGCAAAATCAGTAATCTTTTACAAGTTAAACAAGATTACTTAAAAGTGTCCTAATAAATTGCTAGATTAATAAATTTGTTGATCTAAATCTTCAAATATTCTGTCGTAAGTAGTTGTAAATTAAATGCTTATCTTTAGTTGTTTTATTGTGCTTTTTATTTGGCTCTGCTGTATATTTTGAAAGGAAACAAATAAATAAAAAACAGAATTATTAGCCCCCCTGTTTATTTTTTTTTACCAATTTCTGTTTAATGGAGGGAAGATTGTTTCTTCACATTTCTAATCATAATAGTTTTAAGATCTTATTTCTAATAATGGATTTATTTTATCTTTGTCATGATGACAGTAAATAATATTTTACATGATATTTTTCAAGACACTTCTATACAGCTTAAAGTGACATTTAAAGGCTTAACTAGGTTAACTAGGCAGATTAGGGGAATTAGGCAAGTTATTGTATAACAATGGTTTGTTCTGTAGATTATCTAAAAAAAAATTAGCTTAAAGGGCTAATAATGTTTTCCCAAAAATGTTTTTTTTTTTTTTTTTTTTATTAATAACTGCTTTTATTCTAGCCGAAATAAAACAAATAAGACTTATTATCTTATTAAAAATATTATCAGACATACTGTGAAAATTTCCTTGCTCTGTTAAAAATAATTTGGGAAATATAAAAAAATTAAATAAAATCAAAAGGGGGCAAATAATTCTGACTTTAACTGTATATATTAAGTAAATCCTAGATTTAAAATTTGCAGTCACACAATAAGGTTTCATTATTAGTAGGGCTGCGCGATATTGGAAAACTCTGACATTGCAATTTGTTTTTCTGCAATACAGATTGCGATATTAATACAATTTCACCAGATGACTTAAATAGCTC